ATGTCAACCAGTTGGTGGAAACCATTTAAAATTGTTTCAAACACCCAAACATCTTCTTGCTTCATGGCATCTGGATGTAAGGGGAAGGTTTCTATTTTTCTGAGGAGGCTTGAAAGCCAGGGGTAAGAAGAAGGATTTACAAAAGACCCATGGGGAAGAGGTAGGATTTACAAAAAAGACAATTGTCTTATTTCCCCTATATGCTTCCACATCCGAAGCCGCTTAGCTGCCAGCCAGCTGCCTGATGTTCCATCACACCATCCCGCTCTGCAGTGCTGGAACTCCAGCTATCCCAGCTAACAGCTGTGTTACAAAGCTTCGTGTACCTAAATCAGAAAAAGGTGAAGGACGCCTGGCCCTTGTGCTGGTGGAGAGCAGCATCTTGGCAGACACTACCTGCCCAGCTGCTCTCACGCTGTACATCTGAGCAGACGGCAGCAGCAGGTAAATGGGTGTGATGAGGTGGTCAGGGAAGCGAGCTGAACTTTAAGCTGTTCTGTGAAATAAAGAAAAATTAGCTGTGACCTTTTGCAATTTCTTTTAATCATATTGGATAATGTGACCTACAGTTTCCACGATCTCCTTTATTGGAATCACAACCATTACCCATTAGTGACTTAATGAAGCCTACTAATTACAAGCATCTCACTAATCTAGGCATTATTTCTGCACCTTGTTTCAGAAGTGCCACAGAAGAGTGACAAGAGAGCACAGATGTCCTTCTTGAGGAACACACAGCACCAGTGGGCAGCTCCTGTGCCTTGCTGCCAAGGCCTGTGGCCACAGAGTCCTCCTGCAACCCATGGGCTGTTGGGACACCACTGCTCCTACGCTCTGGCAAAGAATATTTGCTTGGAAAATAAAAATAAAAGAAGAAAGGAAGCAACCAATAAAGACACAATGAGGATTTCAGGTGCCAAGTAATTATCTCATTTGTTTTCTGTCAAGCCCTTGTCCCACAATGCCTGAAAAAGGAGAAAGAAAAGACACACACAAAACATGCAATAACAGAAGGAGGGCTACAGTCCAGTGGGCTGTTGAAACCTGCTCTAAACCAGCTTGAAAGAAATTTCTCCACCTAAAAGCTGGGGAAAAACGTGGCTTTAAACAAGATGTTAAAAGAAACTTGAAGCTGAGGGAAGAGTGGCAAACAAGAGTTAATCAGCATTACTAAATTTTGGACCTCTGCAAGTTCAAACAAGCACTGCTTTGAAATGAGAAGAGGTTGCTGGGGGCTTTATTAGGAAAAGGGGAAAATGCTGAGCACTGCACAAGCTGTCAGGCTGCTGGTTTCTCCCAGCCTTAATTGTCATCTGTGAGTGCTGCAACAGGGCAGCAAAACCAAACTTCGGAGGCAACCCGTGGCACGCATCCCACCTAGGCACTGACAGGGTTTTTCACCCACTGATTCAGACCACAGTTCTGCCTCTGCTCCTGCCACACTTGCTCATCCTGCCCCAGGATTCGCAGGCAAACAAGGTCAGGGCTCCTCTGCAGCCATCACCTGAGGCATCCTGCCCAAAGTGAGAGCCCTGGGGCTATGGAGAGACAGATGGATTTTCACATCCACATCTGCCAGGGTGCAGATACTACCTCAGCCATTCAGGCTGTGTCTATTTCTGCTGACAGCTAGCATGGACTAGTTAGTGTCATAATCAGTGTTTTTCCATAATACAAAAATGTCCTGTAGCAAATCCCTGGGGTTTAGGAAAACAGGACCAGAAGGAGGGATTTGTATTAAAACCACAGCTGCAAAGTATCAGTGTTTCTACTTCCCAAACACACTGGCAAAATACTTGCCTCAATTTCTTTTAATGTCATCACGTTAATTCTGTCTCATATTTTCCAGAACACACCTTAAACAATGTGTTGGCAAAATGTCTATAAAGTGTTTAGCACAAACTGGATGCAGAGAGTGCTTCCTATATTAACCTCCTCATCTCAAACACTTAATGACCTGCCTTACAGAAGAGGTGAGTTTCTATCTCCCATGCAGAGCAAGCCCTGGCCCCAGCCATCCATCCCTGTGACCCCACCTAGAAAGCTGGGCGAGGAGCAGATATAAAGTTAAATTAGAAAATGGTTAACAGAGAAACTGTATAGCTTTACCCTATGTACATTGTTCTGCAATGGCAGAAGTTACAGTTTCTCACCCGAGTAAGAATGGAACCGCCTATTTTTCCCTGCTTGCTTTTGACTTGCCTAAAAAAATACATCTGGCTGAGAATTAGAGGGAAACACAAAGGCCAAAACCATCCCAAAGTGCTCAGGTTTCTGCTTCTAGCTTGGCCACAGACTTCAACAAGGATGCACTGGTACAGCATTGCTCTGATAAAGGCAAGATATTTTTTAAGTGTAAAGTTGGGTCAATGTGAAATTCTCTGAGGTTTTTCCGTCAGGTTTCATGAAGACCTCACTAACAGGGCTGGTAACTCCAGGCACAGAGAAGCCCAGAGTACCAGCAGGGTGGTCCCACTCTGCAGACAGACATCCATCCGACCCCACCCCAGCCCTGGCACCAGCACCAGTGGCCCCGTCACAACTCGGCTTTCCCTTTCAGGGCCCCATTTGCCCCCACCTATTTCTCAGACCCAGCTATATCTGTGGCACCCATGGGGTCCAGGTCTCTCCTCCCACGCTGGAGTCTCTCCTAGCTCACATATGCCTGCTTTGGGAATTCCTTTATTCCCATACATCTCCTGAGAAAACCTCAAGAGAATAGAAGTCTTTTAGCTTGGCCTTTGGTCCCTAATTTCTGCTTGAGCCAACTTTGCATGGTTTGGCACTCAAGGATTAAATGGTCACATAAGGAATTTCTCTTCCTATTGTACCAATGTATTTTTTAGTTAGTCTAAAGGTTAACAAATCACTGTCAACTTCATTGCTGCACTGCCTGTTCTTCGCAGGCAAAATAGTCGGATGTTTTTGTAGTCATGGGGAATTCCTTGCCTGTGAACTATGATGGTCTTTACTTTTTACCTTGCGTGTGAGTGGCCAGTGTATATAACTTAATTGGATGAGTCACGTCAGTACACTAATCTAGCCTGTATGCGAAGTGCAAAAGCAGTAAGAGTGATGGGTGAATTTACAGCTTCAGGAAATGTTTACATGCTTTTGCTTTGAGTGAGCTTCAGCGCAAACATGGGTTATGTAAATGAATGTGGTTGCACAACCACGTTGCTGATCTCACGTCCATTTGTGCGTTTGGGGCGCCTGAGCAGCTCTCCTCAAAAGCCAGCCTACGGCTGCTCGAAAAGCAGAGGTGGGTGGGTGACCCCGCTGTGTTAAAGAGAACGCTGCAGCCCCTTGACACGGACTTCTCAAGTTTCATCCCACAAACGAAATATGCCGGGTCAAACCAGAAAGCACGTTCGTTGTGTCCCTGCTTCCCTGCCAAAATGAATTGTCTTCTCTTTGATGCAAACACTCTTGAGGCCAACGCTTCTGCGCTTTCATGTTTGCTGGGTCAACAGGATTTTATTCTGAGCGCTCACTTCCACTGCTAACGAAAAAAGGCAAGCTGGGATTTCAGAGGCCTTTCCCAGAAGCTAGAGACTGCCCAAAGGCCCCTGGAACAGACCCACAGCCTCAGGGCCAGGGTTGGTGCCTGGCTTCCCCAGGACAGGACAGACACAGAGCCCCACGCCTGTCTTTCAGGAGCCGTGCCTACATGCAAGGCTGAGCTCTTTGCAGTCACTCTGGGCTGCGATGATGGCACTTCCACATCTTGCAGACATCACCTAAAATAATTTCTGACTTCTGAAATAATTCATTCTCTAAACCCATCTTTTACTGCCTTCTAGCTATAGTACATTTGGTTAGAAAAAAATATTGCAGGCATAAATGAGATGAACCAGGGATTGAAGGAAGGGAAAATGAGAAACAAAGGACTACATTTTTAGGCGAAGGAAAAAAAAATGTGTATGTTCTTGGTTTCACATCAGTTGTCAGAAATAGGGGAGGGCTTTTTCTGCATTATTCTTCTCCTTTGATGTAATTTTTAATATAATGTGTAACTAAGACTGTAAGTCGTAGCATTCTGCTCTGCAGCTGAACTGAAATAGGGTTTAAATTTCTGATTATATTAAGATGGATTTTTCCATTTGAAGTTTATGGACACAGAATTAAGAGAAGCTTTTCATTCAAGACAGTAGTGAAATTACAGTTATGAACTTACCAATGAGCTTCTGGGGAGCCCAAGACACTTCAAATGTTTGAAAAAGTTAGAACTAGGGTTTTTTAATGACAAATTTGATTTTAGCAGAGGAAGTGTGTGAAACACCTGCCCTGGCAGAAGGACACTGCTCCAAAATGGGAAAACCCATAGCAGTACCTACAGCACTGCAAGGTCCCAGCAGTGTTGTCTCAAGAGAGTTTGCTACATACTGAGACACTTACTCCTTCCACAGACATTTTAAACTGCAAGTTTTGATGTCTCTAATATTTTACTCTTAGACTCTTAGCCTTATTTACCATACAGCAGTGGGGGAAAAATATTTACCCATGTCCTATCAGAACAATGCCCTTGCATTCTTAAGTACCCGCAAATGAGAGACTGTTGCTGGTTGTCAGCAAACAGGAGCAACAAGCCAGCAGCTATCAGATATGAACAGGTTTGAAGGAACTTCCAAACTCTCTAAGAAATCCAAGATTAAAGGCAGCAAAGCCCAACACCTATGCCCTTTGGCTGCAGTAGCTCTTAACTGAACAGCACAAAATATCTGGCAAAGTGCTGGTAACAGAATGTATCAGTACGAATAAAACCAGATTGATGTGCTGTCCCCACACACTGAACGGCTAAAAAAGGTGTTTTAACACCTAAACTAAAAAGACAGTATAACAAGCAAAACCTTGAATTTCCTGCTTGTGAGCTGTCCCACTAGGCTCCACATACCATCAAGCTGTTCCACATCTCTTCTTAATAAAAGTGAAAATATCATGTAAGTGCTCAAAATAAACTGTCTGAAAACAGTATGTGCCAAATATAGTTAAACTTTTTTATTGTCTGATAACACTGTAATAATATAAACTGTATAAAGCATGATAAAACACTTCTATAAAACAGATTAGGTACATATTATAAAATAAACTTTTAAAATATTATGTTAAAAATAGAAAAAAAAATTAAAAGAAAATATTACAATAAAATAATGGTACCTGTTTCTTCCTGTATTCCAAAATTTATTGCAAATGTTTAAATTATGTAGCACTAAGATAAGTTACTTTTGTCTCTTGATTTTAAACCTGCACTAACTCAAACAGAAATAAAACCTATTGATCCATACATAACTTAATGGTTATTTCCCTGAATGTTATTAATCACATAATCTTCCTTGCATGTAGATTTAAGGGGGGATGATGAATTTTTTTCCCATGGCCTACAGATTTTAGCAATTAAAAATAGGTCAACAATTCACAATAAAAGGAACAGACACAGAATTAGCAATAAACTCTGATAAATAAGCTGTTACTGTAAAAATTGTCAGAAAACTATCCAACAAAAGATCAGCTAGGCTTCAAATAGTCTCTGCCCAAAATGCGACCGTGATCTTTGCGCTTGCTAGGATACCGACAGCCCTACCGGAAAGATAGAGGGTGAAATCTGAACCCTATTAATGTCAACAGAAATCTTGAGACCAAAATTCCACTTACAGCTCTTGAAACACATGCCTTCTGACCACGATACTGCAAATGACCTTACTTAAAATGTGCTTTGTTTTCCCCTTGATGATAATCCCAGTGAAAGGAGTGCTTTTCTCCTCCAGCTGCTGTGGAGCGTTGGACAAGCAACCTGCAGGGCAGCTGGGGATGTGTTTTTCCCCTCTCACCTCTGCAAACACCTTTGTACTTTCTTTTGCATTAACTTCCAGAGACAGCAATCCCATCTCCAATTGAACTATTCATCCCCAACTATCTTCTTCAAAATCCAGAAGAGTACAGCTAAGGAACAACTGCTGGGACTGCCAGGTGGATTTGCTCAGAGTTAATCCCACAAGCTTTAAAAAAATGACACAAGCCAGCCTAGTGTCCCTCAAATATGTGACTCCTAATCCTGCACACAGTGCGAGGCCACCAGTGACCTCATCAGTCCATTTTTCTCCTTCCCACATCACACACTTGCCAATTACATTATTTCAAAGGAGGCTGGAAGTTTTCAGAGGTGCAACTGCATTCTTCTATGCATTTGCAGAGTTATCTCAATGCTTGTTGAGATGGTACTAAAATAATCTATGTCTATGCATGGTCTTTCATTATTCAATGTACTAAAAATATATTTTTTTTAAAATAGCCCTTAATACAATGAACTACTCCACATTCTTACCTAGGAACGTTTCATCTATTCCCAGTAAACACTGCCACTGTCCCCTTGCAGAAATACGATGCTTTTAATCATGATCAAATGCAAAATCACTTTTAATTTATCTATAAACATTTTGGTCAGAAACACATGAACTAATAATAATTTAACATACAGGTGCTACTAGCTCAAGAATTCAATCAATATAATTTTGTGGAACAAAAGAGGAAAAGAAAATGTAAGAGGCTGGATGTTTTGCTGAGTGGATTTTATACACTGTTAAACAGTAGCAAAGTGGACTTCAATATTTCTGAAAATATTTGAAATTAAAGGATTCAAGAGCAGATTCTTCTTAGCATCAGTTACAAAGGCTCTACTAGCATTAATAACTAGCTGAGGATCCTACTTTTAATATTAGAGATGTATAAACCCCATTTCTTTGATACCACTTTGTTATCAAAACTTCGTTGATTTTTTTTTTTTAAGAGCAAGAAAAATGAAATTTGAAACATAGTTTGATGATGGGAGTTTTAGTAAGGCCAATATGGTCAATGTTTATTACTGAGCAAAACCCCTTTCAGCTTAAGAAATCAACCTTAACAGAGCTACTAAGCAGCCAAGTGACTAAATATACCAGGGAAAAAAACACTAAAAAAAAGACACTAAACTCAATGACCATAGCCAAAATAAACTCATTCCATAGTTTTTAAAACAAGGATATCAGCATACTGAAATGTTTTCAATGCTTTTAGTTTAAAAAAAAAAAAAGTACAAAATTATATTGAAACTTGAAAATATTTTCAGGAGTTTTGCACAGCCCTGTTTGGGAGCAGTGATGCTCTGATAATGTCTTTTTGACTCCAGTTGTAAAGGTAGAACGAGTTTCTTGAAGGAGTGGGACCTACAATGCATGCTCTATGTATGGTTGTTGTTAAGATTGTTCTTATTAAAGAATCTCCTTGCTTCAACACTGCTAAGGGACACAGAGCAGCGAGATGGATTCTCTTTCCTGTATTCAATGCTTTCCATCATAGCTTCCTTGATCACCTGGAAAACAGTGAACAATGGTCATTCAGGGAAATAACTAACTTTAATGATTTATTAGCTGACAGAAAAGACCCCTTCAGACATTAACAACTGTTGCTCCTACTTTTAACACTGATCCATCACTGAACAAAGTGATTGCCAAGTATTATTATGAATACTACTTTTTGATTGTATAAACCACTGATTTTAATGTAGTTATTAAAGATATGACAGGGTATCACCAACATCAAAGAAGTCACACAAGAATATACACCTTTTAAACCAAGTCCCGATGAAATTCCAAAGGGTAAGTCAAATAATTGAGAAAATCCATACTTAAAGGATATAGAAAGTAATTATTATCTCAAGAAGGATTACATCTTTTGTCCTGAAGTAACAAGATTTATTTACTATACTGAGAAAAAAAAAAATCGTTCCTTTATCTAGGATGATCATTTACACTTGTGAATATGGCAGGTCACTCTATGGATGCTGGGATCATGGTGTCATGTTACAGCTAGTATCAATTAAAAACAATCATTATTGAGTTAGTTGATAAAGAAATTTCCAAAACTCTTAACAGAAATTTTCTAATTTCCTTTTTTCTCAGTTATAAAAATCATCATACATAAAGAACTAAGTATAAAATCTTGAACATAATGTCTACATCCTACACAGTCACCTTTGCTCAGTTACCCTTCAGGGCCTGTGATGGTAAAATGGCAAAACCACCACAGGAACCAAATTAGAATAGAGTATAAATTGGAATGGACCCTAACAAGCACAGGCTCAAACATTATGAAAAGCACACACACTACGCTCCAATGATTCTTCCATTTGGAAGGTGGCCACAATATTACATCAGTCTTAGCACCTGAAATACTTTTTATACTTTTTTTTTTTTTTTTTTTAGTGATTTATTATTGACAGAGGATCATATATGGTAATACTTCTTACAACACTGGTATTTCAGAACTTCAAAAATAGAGGCCAAGTGAAAAGACCAAATTCTCTTCACCTAATTCACACTGTGTATCTCACAAAAGTCGCTTCATGTAACTCCAGCCACCTTATTACTTACAGTGACTAGACTCTTCTTTTCTTCCCAGGCTAGACGGGTGCAAGTTGACCATGCCACATTTTGTGCATGTTTCTGCACAAGCTCATGAAGACCTTACCTAGAGTACATTCCAGTCCTCACTAAAATAAAGCTGATTTTTTTCCACTGCCTATAATGGGCTTTGATCCAGCCTGAGTTTTGAGAATAGCAAGGGGCACAACTAAATGCAGGAAGCACTTAGTATATCCTAACAATCAGGCAAACACTGAAGTAAAACCCTGTACCTTCTGTATGGCAGATTTAGGCTTTACTCACATCACCTACTTTCCCATTTAACACTCTAGACCCTTTAAGCCCCTTCCACACTGTCATACTTACATCTATGTTATTGAGGGTGTTGAACTCCATTAGATCATGAAGCCTCTTGAAAGCCTCATTGGAATACTGGAAGTTGAACGTAGAGAATGGTGTGTTCGGATCATCAAAAATGTCAAAGTCTGCAAAATCCTTCTCTTCCTGTGTTTCTCTTGGAACTCCTGAATACAGAACAAACACAAAAATACAATCTAAATGTTAGGTCTGAGGACTTACCATCTTATTTTTTAATAGCTCTTTTGAAATCCCTAACTATTACACACAGACTGAAGAGTTATTTCAGAGACAAACCATTTCCAGTATATAATCACTATGTCATTTTAAAGCTTCAAAGGAACAGCTAGATTTAGCATCAGAAATTGTGTGCTCACCTGGAGCTTTGTACTTCCGGAAGCTGATGTTGGCCAAAACAAAATGGATTATAGTTGGACAGTCTTTCTCTGAAGAGGTATCCTTTGGTTTGAAAACATAGCACTCCTTCATGCCCTCTCTATCAAATACATTTGGGTCTATTTTTGGAAAAGGAAGCTTGTTCATTTTGGCCCATTTTTCAGCAAGCAAAATTTCCTGAAAAGACAACAAAGACTCAGGTGCATGTAAGCATTCAGTGGGATTTTATGTAGACAGACACAGGTCAAATTGGTTACTAGAAGCAGTTTTATTAACTCACACTTCTTTATGGCAGAAGGACTGATCAAAGTCAATCTTTGTATGGGCGACCCAGTATGGCAAACTGAGCACCTCATTCAGCCTGCCCAGTCTTCACCACCTGCGATGATTCACAGGAAGGAAAGAGCTGGTCTGTCACATAAATCTTTAGGTGAATTTACAGAGCTGACAGCTAGAAAAAAACATCTGTAATTTTACTTGCAAACTGAGTATCAGTGCTATGGAAACCAATGAGAGTTAATAAACATCAATCCATGCGTTGTTATGTTCGGAGTCACATCCCAGCACAGAACAGCATTTGAAAGCATGCTAAGTGAAGAAGTAAGTCTGGAAACAGGCAGCTTTTTTTAACTCGTGACAACTCAGTAAACAAAATAATTTGTAAATAATGACTCAAAAGAGTGTAATGAGGGTGTGCGAGAGGAAGGAGAGGGAAGGTCAACATCTTTAATCTTGGTTTTGAATGAAATAGGACCCTTCTTTGGGCAACTGTTTTGGATACGCAAAAGATTAAAAGATAGTGGGTGTAAAATAATAAGTCATTTCCCTAGAGGCTGATTTCCCTATGTGTTGGAGTAATAAAAGTATATTAGAGAGCTAGCACAGATACAGGCCAACTCCTTTTGGAGTTTGGAGTTCCAGCATTTACTCTTTGTAATGCAAGCAGCAGCCAGTAAACAAAACTGGTTTCTGTCCTTTAGGCCATAGCATACAGCCTCTGATATACCTCTGTATTAGCTGGAGCCACGTCACTCTTCTTATACACATATTTTTGCTTCAGGAAGAATGAACCATTCCCTTCAACAGTGGCTGCATGAAAACCTATGGCACCACTTAGTTTTTCCACTTTTTTTCCTTGCGTAAAAGGATTCTGCCTTTTTAAAATTACAGTTTACAGAAAAAACTTCAAGGTACCACTTGACTTCCTATCAATCTCTCCATTTTATGGTATGTTCCCCAAAATGACACAGAAAATTTCAACTGACAGAGACAGAAAGCTCCATGCATACACTACGAGTAACAGAGATGACTACACGCAGCCTTTTGCACAGACTCCATGTGCACAACATTAACAAAGGGAGGAGAAAGATGTTTCAGAGGAGATGGCAGTGCTGTCAGTAAATTTAGCTGAAGGGGAAAACACTTAGTCGTGACAAAAAAGAAGACAAATTCTTAAACAAATAGAAAGGAAGAAACAGACTGTGGGATTCAGTCAGTTAAGGAAAAATGAAGGATCTCAGCACTTTTACGAGCCTTCTCAGTGCTCTATTCTTCCAAGTAGTATTCTTCCAAGATTACAGTATTCACTCCTTTTTACTCTCCTGAAGCTTGATTTCTTTGCATTTGACAACACTGATCTAGAGTTAATATTGCTACTGCGGTTATTTTCTGATCTTGTTTGGGGGTTTTGTCCCTTGATAGCAAGAGAAAGAAAATAAATATTCTGTTCTAATTGAAATTTGCCTGTAAAGCAACAAAGAATGTCAGTTGTTTCTCAAACAGCATGTTTTCTTGGTTTCCTTAAAAATTATGTTTAAAAATCAACTTGGATTTCAAATAAATATTGCCTCTTTTTTGAGAACTTCACAATAGTTAGTCTCATAAGTGCTGCTTTCTCTGTCACCTATCAAAATGAAACAACACTAACCCTTTCTGGTCAGTTAGAGCTGTTTGGAGGCATAGGTTGTACAGGCTGCACAGACTGACAGCTGTTTTTCCCACACCTGCTACAGAAAACAGCCATGTCATTTAATCTGTATTTTTCTGTTGGTGCTTTGCTCTGGCCTGAATAGATTTAGGAATCCTATTTAAACCAGTACTGGGATAATCCTAGTGAGATGTAAATGAACAGTTAGTCCCACTTGCAAAATGTTACATATTAAGCAATACTGGGATGCATTTCTGCAAGGTGATGACAGAAAACAATTCATTTACATCACAGCATCACAGAGGACAGCTGTAGAGAGCTAGAGCACTAGCACAATGGTAAATGACTTAATCGTTTAATACTGACATAAGATAAAATTCTGCAATTCAGTGCGAAGGCAAGACTTCCACAAAAAAAACAGAACTACTACTTCAAACGAATTACATTAGCCTTCTTTGTGTCAGTTGTCTCATGTGAGTCATGTAAACAGGAACTGAGGCATAGTGTAATATTCTGCCTTGACGTGGAAACAAATTGCTCCGATGCTGTCGATACAGTAGCACTAAGGCCTTCTGGAACCATGAAATGTGCAACCAACCTGACTGATAGAATACAACTGAGTCAACTTAAATTTATGAAACACAAAGAAAAGAATGGCCTATCTTACTTACTTTGAAAGGAGGACTGGAATCACTTGGCCTTGCTGAAAAATCAAAAGAGATGATGAGATCAACGCCTCTCTGAGGTCTTAAGATAAGTGGGTATGGCAGGTTAAATGTAAGCCCACTGTCCACTATATGAATCTTTTTGCTCTTCACATCTAGTGGCTCATATATCCTCTCAAACTCATCAGGATCTGTGCAGAACAAATGAAAACAAAACAAAACAAAACAGGAACACACAAGTTAAGAACTGAAATCTTGATGGGCTTTCCAGTGTTTCCCAAAGTACTGAAGATTCCACAGAATTTAAAATGTACAATATCCCAGCCAAACATGCCATGCATTCATGTGTAACCTTCATGCTCATCTTAACAACTGGAGAATGAGGTTAAAAAGAACAGAGCTGGAAGAGACCTCTGTAGGTCAAGTACACAAACACCCTGTCTCAAGGCAAAAGCAGAGCTGGCTGGATGCAAATGCCCAAGCTTGACCCTAGCCTTTCACCTTTACCCTAACATCCCTAACAACCAGTACACAAAAGAAAGTGTTTACGGGACGTTAAGAGGCAGATTCCTAACATATATTCCTCCCCCTGCAGTGTCATATAAACCCTGCCCAAACTTATTCCCCCAGGTTCCCTCCCAATGCTCTGTCCTTCCCAGCTCCTCCTCCCCAAATAACTGAAATTTGCCTGATGTGGTTCTACTCTTCCATGACACTTGTCTATATCTGTTTCTGACCCATAAAATTAGGACTATCAAGTCTTGTTTTTCAGCCTACACCAAATCTCATGACTCACTACTACACTAGGAACAAAAAGAAATAGTACCCAATATCTGTATCTGAAATTTAAGCATTGGGCAGAAACAGTCACTTACTGCTATTACTGTCACAGTATAGTATAAAATAGTCTCCTATCTCTAATGCCCAAACTGAGGGCTGAAGAAGATGATATTTCCCCTTCTAACCCAACATTTACTGGGTGCAATTCAGGAAAAAACAAGCAATTTTTCCTAAGTGTCTTTGCACTTAGCCAAGTCTCCCTGCAGTACTTAAAACTTTTCTACTGACAGTCTTTTCTTGCTCTATTTATATTTTAAAAATATTTCCAGTGCATATCCTGCCTTTTGTCTAAAGACTAAAGCTTGTATCTGTAGAGGGCAGTGTAATCTAAGGAATGCTTAATACAATAATTATTTCTTGCTTAATTAAATTTCCTAGTACATATTGGCAACGGAAGTAATCTGAAAGAAAGATATTTTACTGTGAAGAAAATCCATCAAAAATAACTCAAATTCTAGTTCCTAATATTTCAGGATCCCTGATAAAAATTTATAGTTATGAGCAGAAAAAAAATGTCAGAACAGATATTTAGACTTTTCATTTCTTTTATTATTTATTAGAGGGCACTTTGCTAAGAAATGAGGTACCAGTTTCCTAATATTTGCCTTGATTTCTAAGGGAGAAAACATTTTTAAATCATTGCCTATTGCTAAAGGGCTAAGTGTGTTTATAGGCCTATTTTAGAACCAGATATCCTTCATAACCATGAATTGCATGAATCAGTGAAAATATATTAGTATTTATCAAATTCATCACAATTTAAAAAACACTGGTAAAAAAATACACTTAATACAGATCCTTTTAGCATAAGTTGACCTGTTTCATTTTCCCCTCCTTTTTAAGACATTTCAAACATAATTTAACCCTTGTTCTCAATAGAATTTCTAAAAATTGCAGAAACATCTTTGTCCATGTTTTGTATGATTTTATTTTACAAAATTTGAATTTGAAGGTCAACAGTGTTCCTTTAAACAAGAACATCACCTATAATAATGTTCATGATAGGAGTGTTACTGCACACACAAACTTCCTACTAAAAAGGCACTGAAGAACAAGACAGTTCCTATTGCTTGCAGTCTTCATGACTCTATAATCGAATTTATCATAGTAATTTTATGATATTTTAAATGCTAAAACATCACAATGCCATCAATAAATTTGTACCGACCACATAGATTGTTTTTATTAGTCGTGGTCTTCTGCAATTATGGGAGAAATTCAACTCAAGTGTTTTTATTTTAATTCATTTTAGAAGTACATTTCTAATCTTTGAACTGAGAAGAAAAGTTCCAAAATTCACATTATGTCGATGTTACAAAATTACAGAATTCGAAAAGCAATGAAGATATTCCAGTGTTGTTATAATGACATGAGTTTAAAAGCAGACTCAGCATGTAATTTGATTTGATTTACAGAGGATCTGGAGCCAGAGGCCAGAAGCCAGAACACAATAGACCAGTGAGAGAGGGCACATGAGCGGACTGAACTGTGTGTCAGTCCACTGCAGGTGAGCTGCAATCACTCCTGGGAGAGATGTAACGTACAATGAGTGTCCCTGATGCTAAAAGAAGCATCACCTACTCTATAACCTGCGCTGTGGTTATTCTGAAGGGCTGGGTAAGAAAGCTTTGCTCTTTTTATACTTTACCACACATGAATCCAGGACAATCACTCTATATACTCTAGCAGCACTGATAAGTCAATTCATCACTATCGATCAAACAGTATGGAGACTGGATGGAGTATATGTGCTTGGAGAGCCTGGGACACTAACTTTCAGACCATGCAGACTGCTTTTATGAAAGCTGCATCCATGTTATTAACAACTTTCAGTCCATCAAACAGCAAACTGGGAGAAGCACAAGATGTTTACGAGTACAAACCAGCACAGCATGCCCATCTGATTTGCAGTAATCAGACACACAAACGGATATTAAGAATTGTTTGGAAATAAAAAAGAGAGCATGTTCTAGAGACCAAACTTTGTCACAGATGGCAGCCTCAATGGAAGTATGGGAGATGAAAAGGGCATTTGCGACTGACGTGCACATACTATAACAGACTTTCAGTAAATACTGAAATAAGGAAACAGAGATTATGAGTTATTTTTTCCCTATTGTTATTCACTTGGCATTTTCTCAAGTGATTTTGGTGTGTTGTAATATCAAGGCACAGAAACACAACAACTCTTGAGTTCACAAATCATTCAAGGGGTGTAAAATTTTAAAGCATACTTGAGATCAGTTAAGAAAATGCTCAGCATAAACAGAATCTATAGAAAAGTGAAGCCAAGCATTTTACTTTCAGATCAAGCAGCTGGGATCTCTGCTGTATGCACTGCACACCCTAAATTCAATCCTCAGTAATGACTGTAACATCAGCTTAGATCTGCCATAGTTCATCCTCTGCAGTGCAGCTCGGGTCTACAGAAGGTCTGAGACAACTGGAGATGTAAAGTATTATTTATATTCTTTTTGATTCATTTATTTCTCCTTTGGAGCATCTGTTAATAAAGAGAAAGCAAGTCCTAAAGCAATTCAGACTTCTCTCTGTACTCAAGCTGATAGGTAAACTGCTAGGAATAAATATGCAAAGCTTAAATCCATCCAGTGCCTTGGTAATATAAAATATTTTAAATTTACACCAAAGTTTCCTCTCTATCTACTCCTCTGGGCTCCTAGACTCTTACATATATTAGCAAAATTCACAGCATTAAAATGTGGATATACCTATCACACTACTGAATGACTAAACTGTATATTAACTACTAAAATTTCAAGGGTTTTTTAACTATTCTTGACCATAAGATTGCAACTACTCATAGCTGTTAGATTTGAGTTGTTAGTTCAGGTTTATGAGTGTGGGCTTTAGCTAACACTAAAAAAATTGAAGTTATGTCAAACTTTTCCAAGATATTTTACCTAAAGAAATTTCAGGCACTCAAAAATAATTGTCTCGGGTACAGTCTCATTCTGCCAAACCAGCATTTTATTTCAACTGAAGATAAAATCCAGGAAGTTGATAGTTGATTCTGAAGATTATCCATGTCTTAATTATGCAAAATTCTCATCAACTGTCATTTTTTCCAACCATAAATTTACTACCCGCTTTCCTGCCTCTTTTAAAACTACTATAAATATTAAGACTACCCAGCCATAAACACTTCTAAGATGATAAAAATATTTAGAAAGTGGAGTACAGATGGCAATTACCACTCAAAGGGATTTGCTACATTAACAAATATACATTAAAGAACATCTGCTCCTTAAGCTTTTAAACGACCTCTGGTATTTACTATTGCATAGTGACCAGCGAGGACAATCCCTTCCTCTGAATAGAAAATAAAGGCTGAAGTGACTGCTGTTATTACATGGAATGGTTGGCAGTGTTGTGCCACTACACAAGAACATGGAACACAACTTTCAGAGCTTTGTAGTTCCCTGGCTCGATGGATGTCACTAATAATCCATAATCATTACAGTTTGCATCACAGAAACTGTATGTGAAGGCTCCACCAAGTGTGCATCTTCACTGTGATGTAACTTTTTTACTGGGAAATTCATATCCTTAACTCAGTGCTCTGTTCTCTCTGCTTCCTACTGAGGAAGAAAAAAAAAGGTACCAGTGCCGGGAGAATACTAAGAAATTAACTGGATTTCATTGAGAACACTGTAATGAACAGTGTCTAGAGCAAATCTTCAAAATACTAATTCAATATGATTCCTAATTCTTTGCAGCTACTGTTGCAGACATCACATACTTCATGGAGTGAAGGAAGACATTGAACTTCTTTTTCAAATTAACATTTTTCTGAAATTCTTATTTTTCTGCATTATTGCTTCTTGCTTAAGCCAACAAGAAACATGGATGCATCTACACATCAGTCACACATGAAATGTGAATGCACCTGACAGATCAGTCACACTGGGAAGAACGTGGTGCCAGCAAAGCAAGGATCTACAAGTAAAGTGTTTTGCCTCCATAGGTTTCTCAGAGGAAGACAAAGACAGCAGAAGAGCTACAACATTTTTGCAACAGTGAAGTGCTGTAGGAGAACAAGGAAAGGTTTTATTTCTACCAGAAGGTTTAGCACCAATAAAGGAAAAGGAACAACACAGGATACCCTTTGGAGAAGTTCAAGAGTGTGAGAGAGTGGCCTTAATGATGGACACCATTCACAAAAGCAGCTTGCTCAGCTCTGCCAGCAATTCCTTCAGAACAAAGAGCCACTTCCCCTCCAAAAGGTAGTGAATGTTCTGCACACTCTGCCAGGGGACAGGGCAGGTAGGCAGCGACAGAAGTCACTGTGTGGTCACACCCTCTGCTGCTCATCAATACTCACGACTGCTGCTACAGAAACGTTCCCCTGCCTTCAGGTACATGCTGTTGCAAGCCTCATAGTTCAATGTTACCACAATGAGAACTTGCTGTTTCTGGTCTTACCAATGAATATGCAGCAACAGAGGCTCTCTGCGAACTAACCTGCAACAGCTGCATCTAGTTCATCTTCCTCCACCGACTCCTGAGTAAGAAGGTCTGCCAGAGGAGAGAGTGGGTAGCAGCTGTTGAGGTTCAACCCCAGCATGAAGTTGTGCACCTTCCCAGCGCGCCCTTCCCTGGTATTGAAAAGGGCACTATCACCCACCAAAGCCATCAGCATTCGTTGCACCCAGCTTTCTTGGCTGCTGTTCTGATATTCTTGATTTGCCTCAACATTTTCGGTGCCTGTCAAGGAAAATGAAAATAACCAATGGTGAGGCAGTCAACCTATAAAGTATAAAACCAGGGTTTCTCAGTCTACTAAAATAAAGGGCCTATTAAAATAAGAGGAATTGGGTCACAGCCCTCTTTCAAGGAGCCGTGGACTGAACGAAGGACCTTTGTTTCAAGAGTTTCAGAGGAATGGAGAGAAACAATCCTCTTAACTTCACAGGCCAGTGAAACTTTCAATCTGCAGTACAGTAGTGCAAATGTGTCCATCAGAAAAATAGAATGGTAATGTTTTAGACAACCTGAGCCAGACTTAATTGGTCTGGATGGAACGGGCAAAGACGATATGGCTTCATCTGTGCTAGTACCCAGAATGCAAACTTCCTGGGCTCAGGGGACAGACTTGAGTCACCAAGATCCATAGTCTGTGTAGAATTAAATTCACCTTGATGTGTACTGACACCCTTCTTCATCCTTAGGTGATTGTTAGAAACACAGCCTTCATTAAGAAGGCAAAGTCAGTCTGCATAAAAGAGAATAGGAATTCTAAAATACCTGAAAATATCCTCACAGTAAACTGTAGGTTACAATCAATATCTGGTTTTAATTAACTAAAGAGAACAATGAAATGTCCAAATTTAGATGTCTACAGCTAGATGTTGCAGTAGAAATTACTTGGATTGACATCACCTTGCATTCGTAAACTGTCAAAACTTGACTTTTTAGGGTGTTTTGTATAAGAAGGTAATTCAGGCTCAGGCTTGATACTAAGGAGAACTGAAGAAGGCATTGTTTAAAATATTGTGCCAAGTACCAGGAATTTCCCATATCAGGTGTCATTTGTAAAGGTGCTAGAAGACATCTATGAATGCTGGAAACACAAACCATTTTCAGGTAAATATATGTCCAAGAAACCCTTGAAAAAAATGGCTAATGTTAGTTTTACTGGGAAATTAACAATTCAAACATGTCTCTGAGCCCAGAAGCTTGCTGGCAACAAATTCTGGAGATTTCTGGCTCAGCAAGCCTAATTTCTGGATGTATGTAGAACTGCAGACCTCTGTTGGGCTGATGCCAAGACTGAAGATGTGTGAGAGAATCATTTGATCATCTGCTTGAGCAGGAGGCATGCAGTCAAGCCAAAGCCTCTTGTTCAACATTTCTCTATTTTGCTGAACCAATGGCTCCTTTAAGATCCTTGGGCTAGACAATTAAGTTTTACCATTGGTCTAAATGAGAGCAGAGCTCTCAGTTAAAAGAGACTATTGGTAAAGCTAAGGAAAACCATCTCTGGCTAATTACCAGTATCCACAAACTTGACCATGCCACATGAAAGCTGATGAAAAAAGTAAATTATGAAATAAAATATGAGGATTTCCTTACCTTTAGGATGATGTGATTCATCTTCACTGTCTGAACTGTCATTGCTTACAAGATGCTTTAGCCTAATGTTTTCTGTTCAAAGAAATACAAAATTACTTAAACTGCTAGGGTTTAATTGTCAGACCAGCTATGAATTTCAAAACAATTTGAGTCATAAAACTATCACAGTCTTTATAACAGAAAACACAGCTGAAGAAATTTGATCTGCTGTGGACATCTGCTCAAAATATTTTGACTTTAGCCTGCAATTTTTGAAAAGCTCCTGCAATAAGCAGGTAAGTCAAAGGGCTGAGAAAACAAAAGCCAAGATGGTTATGGAAGTTCTGCTGGAGTATGTGCGAAAAATAAAGGTCAATGCAGTTACACAGGTAGAAAACACAATGGTTTTCACCTCATAACATTGAGACAAATAAAACCAGAAATGAGTGAACTTCTCTGGGAAAACTCTGCATTTTGTTAGGGTTAGCAGCTTTGTTTCCAACCTAACCACAAAGTCATTGTTAACCATTCATTACTATCTCAAGGTATTATTTCAAAGTGAAAATGAATACTGAAAAAGCAACACATTCCACTCCTCAGGTAATGTTGTAGTGGAGGTGAATTCAATTGAGAATGGATTACAGGATGACAACGTAATTTTTGCCAATTACAGAGGGAAGTCTTTCTTGAAATACAGATTTATAAGCAGCCTCATCTTGGAAGTTTATATCCCACAGAGTGGAGACAAGGTCTGAATTGCAGTGATGTAAATGCATCCAAGAGAAGATTTCTGAAAACTAAAGCCCTTTATTCCCTAGTATGCTAGGAGTCATCTCTAGTTGAAATTTGAAGCCATTTAAAATAAACTGAATGAGGTTTGTTTCCTAATGAAGTTGAACGTATTATCAACTAATTGTTTTTTCTGTTAAAAAATGAAAATAAAATAACATTTACTTTTTCTCACAGAAGGATAATGTAGATCTTGGTATCTGGTGGCATATCCCTGCTTTGGGCTGTAATTTCCAACAAATGCTGTAATTTCTACCAAATGCAGTATCAAAACAATGGCAATTACACTTAGCACTTTTTGCTTAACTCTAAATCTAATTCCTATAAGCATGCCTGGATGAAAGAGATGATTGAAGAGAGAGTCACCACAGTATCAAGTGTAAAAACACACAGATTTATTACCCTTGGTAATGAACAATGGATACAGATGACCACCAATGTTGCTTTTTTCCTACAGAGGATTACATCCTCTTAGACTTATATACAACACTGTAAAAATCCCCACACAAACAGAAGAGCTTAGTCATCTTGTATTCTTCCTTAAATACTTTTTCTTTGTTATACTCAGTGGGTCCTCAGTCACTACTCAAATACTGTCTATGGACAAACACGCATCAAAGACAAACACGTACAAATTCTTGAGACATGATATAGGAGATAGGTCAAAATAAAAACTAGTGACCAAAAGATGAAGCTAACAAAATGAACAAATGCAATCGCTGGACATCAAATAATCTCTTTAAAGTAAACCCTACACAAAATTTAATATTGAGTGCTCTAGGTGATGTGTGTAAATCTAGATAATTTACACATGCTGTGTGCAAGACTGGGTCTTCTGATGTCCACTGGCATTTTGCCATTCATTTTGGTGGTACCAGAGTTTCACTGGAACATCTTCAGCTCTGGTAATAAACTGTGATTCAAGTATTTTCACTTCTAGCCCCACTTCAAAGCATATTTTTTAAATTGTATGTGAAATGAGCCACGGATGAGAAATAACATTCTGTCTCTCAGCATCTTAAAAAGCAGTAACACAGAATTCTCCACTGTCAACAGAGATTCTCCATTAGTAGCTGTTAACACTCATGAGGTGCATCAGAAATATGAACCTGGAGACACAGGTCTCATTGCCATCCATAAATAAGTACATTATCAAACAGTTGAATATCATCTATTAGGAGACAGAGAGAGCCAAGGGGCTTGTTTGGGTTTTTTTAAATCAACTCAATCTGCTTTTTCCCTCCACACTCTTCATAGAAATCTGTCTATCTAATACATTTTATTTACTGGTCATATATCGCCCTGTAATGCCATCTTCCGAACAGGAAAAAAGTGTGTAAAACAACCTTTCTTTATCAACTGCATTCTCAAATAAAACACAATAAAGTCTATACAAACCAAGCTACAACCCTTTCCTTACAGTCATTATGCCATTTCTGCCAAAAATCATTAAATTTGTAAGCAAAGGATCAGAGACCAGCAGTGGTTAGAATGGAACAATCTAACAACCCAGAGATAACAGATTTTATTTACCAAGCCCTTGCATAATAGAGTCCAATGTCAAGAGACTACACAAGTAACTATCAAGTACTTGTCAGCTTCTGATCTCCAAAATCTAGCATAACAACATAAAAAATGGAGATGGATTCTTTTAACTTCATGAAAATAACTGGACAGAATCATAGAACCACAGAATCACAGAGTGGTTGGAGTTGGAAGGGACCTCAAAGATCACCTAGTTCCAACCCCCTGCCATGGGCAGGGACACCTTCCACTAGCCCAGGTTGCCCAAAGCCCTGTCCAGCCTGGCCTTGAACACTGCCAGGGATGGGGCAGCCACAGCTGCTCTGGGAAACCTTTGTCAGGGCCTCACCACCCTCACAGGAAAGAATTTCTTCCCTATATCCAATCTAAATCTCCCCTCTTTCAGTTTAAAACTCTTATCCCTCATCCTGTCACTACACCCCCTGATAAAGAGTCTCTCCCCAGCTTTCCTGTAGTCCCCAGTAAGTACTGGAAGGTACTGTACTGGAAGTACAGTAAGTACTGGAAGGTCCCCATGAAGCCTCATCATCATCTAACAATGTCAGCAGTTAAAGTTATTGAATTCTACAATGGTAAAATGACTACCAGCAGAGTGCCATCCTTCCACAGAGTGAGTGCACTGAATCCTGCTAGTAATTGTTTTGCATAGTAGAATTATTTACTAATATTACCTAATTCTTCTTCCATGGTGGGTCCTTTATTCTGAGAATTTGAGACACCGAGCACTCTGTTAAATAATATAGAAAATGCACTGCCCCAGACACCTGAAAGGGAAAAAATAAACAATGAATGGAGGCTGGTGGAAGAGAAAAAAACAGAAATTGCAATATTTAAGCAGTTGATTGCTCTCTGAAGACACCTCTGATTTTGGAACATGCTAAGTCATAAGCTGAAATGTACATACCAGAAACAGAAAAACAGGGAATGCCAAACCATGTCTGTGAAATCTTTCAAATGGATGTCTTCCAACAAACAGAACTCTACTTCTTGTCTCACACTTTGTGTGACTGCATTTAAAAGTTCTTTGTCCAAGAACTACTGAAATTAGTTTTATTTTAAATCCTCTTTCTGTCATATACTCACCCATCAAGAAATGCAAGGGATTTTCACTATACTTCTTCACCACTGTCCCCATAAAAAATTTGCTTCCAAACAAATCAGGAGACATAAAAGTGCCGTACTTTGCCATACCAATCTCATATGGACTGAATTCCACCCAGTCTGCAAAATAAGAAACAAAATTGCGCTTAGTCAGCAATCTCAACCTGAATAGAAACAGAAAATGAAAACATATAAACAAATGAAAACTCTGTCTAAGCAAAGAAATTTGAGTTAAATGGGAAACTGAATAACCAACAGGAATATCTCTTAAGTTGTGCAAAAGTAAAAACTTTGATTTCACACGAAGGACAGTCTAAAGGCTCAGCAGAGAAGGAATTCTCATTCTCATTTTCTCTTATCACAACAAACTTTGGTGAAAAAATATGAGGTTGTAAAAACAGAAGTATAAAAGAATGAGAAAAACAAAATGCCATCTGGTTTTCATCATATGCTTCACATGAAATGCAACCTGGGTCTAAGTTACAAGTTTCTTTTCTTTCACTGTGATCCTGCTAAGAATGTGGAGTGACACAGGCGGCAAAAAAAAATATTTAATATCAAAAAAGTTGCGAAATATTCTAGGAGAGGCATTTGGATTCATCAAAATCTAAAGTTTCTGGTGAAATCCAATATGAAAAGGCAATGCTGAGAGGCAGCTGAGAAACATTAATAACAAACAATGTCAAACATATTTTCAAAAGTACATGCTGTTTTATTGAATAGCGAGCTCAATTAAAATACAGAATAAAATGTTCAAATGAATTTTCTGATTTTAGCAGAAAATTTTAGAAGTGATTTACGTTCTATGATGTATGCCTTTTTTGAAAATGGATTTTAGCTGATTTTGAAATATTTTCTTTGATACCAGTGTAGTTGCTTACATCAGAGAATTAATAGCAAAAAGGGAGCAATAACAAACAAAAAATACCCTAAATTTTTAGTATTTCACCCATTCATCTATTTTATTTTCCATATTTTCTGTAGTGATCGATTTGACTGCTTCTATAAACAGCTTTGAAGAATCCCCACAAGTCACAGAATGCCATCCACTCTTCAAGATATTCAGTGTTTCTGTTGAAATGTTAACAGTAAGTTTAAACACTTGTCCCTAACAGTAAAGATTTAATCATGACTGCTGAGAGTTTCGTTTCATGGGGCAATGCTTATCTATGCTAAGTCAAATATAATATCCTATTTTCCAAATAAACCACCCACAAATCTTCACATTTATTGGAGCAGTGGGAAATTCCTTAGAAGACCCAGCCCAGGAATTTAATGGCCTTTCCCTTCAGATATATAAACAGGAACTGGCAGATATGCATTCAGAACCACACTGACAGCACAACTGAATTTAGAATTTCAATTAATTTAATCTGTGATAGTCCGCTTTCATTCTGTGTTTGAACTGAAGAAGATGATTCTGCAAATCACAGATCCTGTTTAAGGAAATAAGATTTCTGCCTTCTTCAGCATTAGCTTCTGCCATTCCAGAAGCTCCTTGAGACAGTGGCCATTTAAACGAGCAGGGCTTGAATGTTCAAAGAGACATGAACTCTGTATCAAGATAAACACATGTTTATATCCCAGTAAACCAGGCTAGACTCTTGGCTGTGGCTTAATCCAAAATGTACTAAAGTCAAGCCTCTCAGTTGCGTTCAGTGCATTTTGGATGTGGCTCTGATGTAAGATCATAACTCTACACTGCCTGATACCAGCTGGAGATGCAACAGATTTTTCCTGTTCTCAGGAGGGAAGACAAAGAGGTAATATTTTGCCAACATTAAGCATTTTTCAGATTCAGGATTGGGCATATATATGCATGGACTGTACCCACACACTAACACCACATCCACATGCAGCCTTGCTGCACCTGGGCAGATCGAAACCCCATGCCCAATCTAGTATGAGTGCTGAGATGGCTAACCCAGGACAGGCTGCAGGACTCCTCTGAAACCTGGAGCCTGGGAGCCGAGGACTTGGCATCAATACCTCAAGGCAGCCCTGCTTCCCACATGAATTCTGTAGCACTTAATACACTCATGCATGATGTAAGTTTATATAATGGCTTTCAAGAGCAAAACCCCAAAATCCAAATTCTGACTGGTCTAGCATTGTAGCAGCAGTGAATGAGGCTGTTAGGGGATGGAAGCATGCAACACCAGAGCCAAACATTTTTTCAGGTCCCCACTTTAGAACTGGATAACACTATCTTCACATAATTTCTTATGATTAAAGAAGCTATAGCAATGGAGGGAAAAAAAAAAACAAAAAAAGCAGCTGTCTTTAACTAAATCACTGTATGATCAGTTAAAATGACTACTGCAGCTTTGGGTATGGCCAGTGCCACCTGGGTCAGAAATGCTATTGGTAGGGAAAACATGCAGAGCCTGATGGGGCATGAAAGCTATTAGCAGCTGCATGAAATCTTGCACTATCACTCCTGGAAGGTATGTTATCTGATATAATTAATGCATTTCAACTTGAAATAACATGAAAGATCTCAGCCTACATCTATAATCTTGTAAATAAGAAAGTGTAAATATTTCTGTTCAAAATTTACTACATATTTACATCAAGAATAGCTGTTCAGTTCCAAAAGGAGAAAAAAAAGCTTACAATACAAACAATCAAGAGCTAGTATCCTATACAATGATATAGATGATAGCCCCAAAAAAAAGCAAAACCAAGACCCACTGGCAGAGGCAATACCTTTTTTAGACCAGTTGATAAGGCTAGAGAAATAAGACCAGTCTTGACATGCTTCCGGTCTTGCTTAGAGAAGGCCATTATTAACTAAAGATAATTTTGTTTTTAAAATAGTAAATAAGTAACACAAACAACATTTCTCAGAAAACAGAAGCTCATCAAAAAACAAAGTACTTTTGTTTTCAAACAAAAAGTTTCAGTTTCCTAAGGAGGAAAGTAGACATTCTCCCATGAAAAAATTAACCTAATTTACAACCTCGTTTTCATTTATGAACAAAGTTTTGACAGCAACTTTTCCAAATAATCTCTTTAGAAAATGTGGATACAATGTCTGACATTATAAAACTTGGACACGTTACTTGGTGTTTCCCTTCTCAGTCTGCTATCTAACTATATACACATATAAACATATATCCTTTACATTTACATATACTTTTCATGACACAGCATCTAGCACAACTGGACACACTCTCAACTGAGGCTACTAGATGATATTAAAACCTATGGAATAAATAAAAGCAAAACCCCATTTTGTGTTACCAACAGTACTTTACACTGTGCAAGAAGTAAAAAAAAGAGGTAGTATATCTGTTTGTTCAATTCTGATTTCACTCTTAGAAAGAGGAATAATCCTGTATTACTGAAGACATTTCTCTTTATTTGATATACTAATGTTAAGCAGCTTTCTATTGTTGGTGAAACATCAGCTTTCTTTCTCTGGCTTCTGCAGTGTACTTAGCTACTTCACAGACAAGCAATATTCTTTTCAATCGGTAGGAAATTTTTTTTTTTTGTAACATATGGAGAACAAAACTGGGCCACACTTAACATTTCACAGAAACCTAAAGAGGCTGTTATGATGTTAGACTTATTTTCAGGTTTAAAAAAATATAATTAATGGTTACAAAATGATCTAAGCATAAGTTTCCAAACCCAAGAATGATAGAGAACAAAAAGGCTATTGACATGTCTGCTTGTCCTTCCATGGACAGGAAAAGACACATCTTAAAAGCCAAGAAAAGGCTCAGTTCCATGGTATGCCATGAGAAATACATCCATTTAATGCCTGTTCTCCACAGCCCTGGAACGTTGGTGCAAATACTGCACCAGCTGAATAAATATCCACCTGCCTAGGTATGAGATCACTTATCCCTGAAAAACTTACTTGTTTTCAGACCCTACTGTCAGATTCCCAGAAGCTGATGAACACAAATGTGTCCATTTCCCAATTACCTTTTAAACCCCACCAGAACAGTCTTTATGATGTGCCTGTTTGGTATTTCCTTCGACATCACAACCTCCTATTCTTTTTATGAATTAAAATTTTCCTGTACTCAGTTCATAACAATGCTAATTTTGTTAAGCCCTGAAGAATGTTTCATATCATGGTAAATTCCTTCCTAATCCTTGCCATAAAAATAATAATTTCAAAGTGTACCAAGTTGCAAATACAATTATTCTTGGAAGTATTAAAAACCAGGCTTTTCAGCTACACACTTCTCTCTTCACAAGTGACTCCATACATAGGTAGAAAACATACCTGCAAACATCAGCTCTGAGACATCTGGCTTGACATGGAGACATGTAAAGAGTGGGAGAGCACATTGTGCATTATTGATTTTTTCTTTCATGTTGCTCAAAGTGCTGTCCATTCTCTGCATGAAAAGAAAGACATTATGTGCAAACGGATCCTACAAAGGCCTGCTAGTATTTGGGAGACTACTCACTTCCCTGAAATTCTCAAAGAGAAGGAAAATAGACAAACTCAGTTACTTCCAAGAAAAACAGAAGAATATGTAAAGGGAAGTAATCCGCTTGAATGCCTTTTAACTGCACATTTCAGGAAGGAAGGAGTGGGAGAAGACATAATAGGAAGATGAAGTGAGTATGTGTTATAGAATCCAGAACAACAGGGCCAAAAAGAAAACAGTATTGCCAGACAAAGCAAGTACTTTCCCTCTGCTACTGTAAAAGTTGAAAACAAGAAAAAACTTCATAGGCAGAAATGCCATTAATGTTCATGAAATTTTTATCAATTTGTGCTGTTTCTGAAAAGTAAGCAAAGATATCTAAGAAAAGCAAATGGACTATTAAGAGGCTTACATCTGCTAACCAAGGATCTGCATCTGCTCCAGAAAATATTATGGAGTCTGCAATCAAGAAAGACTGAAAGTAATTATGACTTAATAGTACTAAGATGTGTTATCCGTGAATAACCAAGAGCCTTATTTCCATTTTTCACTGATTGTGTCAGGTTCAGATTTAAGCTAAAAATCTGTGCATTTGTTTAACTCCTTAGTAAAGAGGGATTTCTAACCAACCTCACACAATACTAACATCCCTTCATTGTCAGAAACTTACCTTATATATAAAAGTTACTAAAAGCTGTATTGCCTGTTTTTCAGTAATGTAAATTGTTTAAACCCTAATGGCAAAGTATAATCATAAAAGATACAAGTGTTAAAACACATCTGTGAATCTATTAAAACACTTCAATCTTACCGTAAGATCAGATCCAAATTCTGCTCACCTGACTTACCTGAACTTGAAGTCTGTGTGCCAGATTCAGTCAATTAGGATTTTTTAATAATAAAATACAAAAGAATGAAGCCCTCCTATTGTCTCATTTCTCAGAAAAACAGGTAATAATAAATAGAGATGTGGATCTTTCACCTTGAAATTAGTATTTTGTTAAGCATAAGCTGCTTTCTTACAGCAAAATGTGCATAAAGAAGTTACACCACTTTGTAATTCTTGGTTGAAATAGCTTGACAGTAATTTTGATGGATGATACATAATGCTAAGAGCTTGCTTCAAGTACCCAGTGGCTGAGTTCATTTCTGTTGCACATGAATGTGTGAAATTTTCCTAGTCTTTAAAGAAATTAGTACCATTCAGAAACACGTCCCAGAGCAAGGAAAGCATTTTACAAGTTTCTTATCCAGTGTCTGTTCAGCTGTAACTTTAAGTATTCCTATTGCTAAACATACTTTGTTGATTGTTACCAAGGTCCTTTCAAAAAAAAAAAAAAAGTAGCAGCAGCTATTACGCAACAGTTTCACAACTCTAATAATCATAAATAAAATGAACTCACATTATGGATAAGTGTTTCACCTATTAGCATTCCAAAGATATCCGTGAAGGTGACAGGCTGCCCTGAGCTTTTCTTATTCCACAGTGCTTCAATGTAGCGTTTGACTTTCTGAGGAGTGAGCAGCAGAAGTGGGTTGTGACTCACAGAGTTCATCAATTCTTGATTAATCTCCTTCGGTCCCTTTTCTGGAAAATCCGGGTGTGAATATAAAGTTGACATGTACCTGCAGTGGAAAAGAGGCTCTGTTAAGTATCAAAGCCTGATTCAATGTCAGCTACCTGAAATGCTCATAAATAATTTGATACAATCACGGATTAAATCAGATTCATTTACTCACCATTTATACAGTAAATTATCTTTTCCTTTTTCTCAAGGCATAGAAAGCTAAACAACAATTTGTTCTACATGTAAGCATACAATTAAACACTCAACATACACTTCCATAATGTGTATGATGTGAAAGATTAAAGTGTTCCTTATTTATCTGTTTAAGTGATAATAGACAGACTCATCATAAACTGAAAAAATTGCTTCTCAAGTTGTCACAGCATACCTAAACTTGGCAAACTGGAGGTTCTATATGTATACACATGAAGTTCTTTCACACTAAGATGTACCTCTCTCTGTCACTCTCCAGTTCAATATCACTATTCAGAAATTCATAAAATATATTAGTATATGGCATGCTTTCCAGGATCTAAATGTTTTCATAAAAAAATGAAGCACAATGACTATAACCTGTTCAGAGCTTTAGTTGATTGAGGATTCAGAAGGGGCCTATCAGGCAAAGCTTGATTTCATCACTACCTCTAGTAACTGAAGTTTTGTTTACTCAAAGCAAAGTTGAGACACACATGCAGACAACTGTGTTTTGCACTTGGTTGGCTTAAGTTACACTATGGGTGAAGACTCAAGATAGGCCATCCCCATCTACTAGACTCTCATTTCACTATTATTTATTCAATTAGCTGGCTCGGGTATACATACCCTACTGCAGGCATAATTCTGCACAGCAGTGTAAGCTTGGGCCTGAGATCACTGCCTGGTAATATACTTGACAGCGTGATGAACCCTGTCACATGCATGATGTAAGAACTTGAATCACTCATCCTTGCGCAGTTTCTACAGCTTAGCATGCATGTCAGCTTGCGGGTGGAACAAACACAGCAGCAAGCTTCCATGTGAGCAGAGAAAGGAAAATGCAGGATGAAGAATTCAGTACAAGGTTGAAGCAAGATGACAGAAACATTCAGGGAGGTAAATGCATTGCTCCAAGGTTAGGCATGCATCTCAGTGAACAAGCAAAAACCTGCCTCTCTCGCCAGGAAAGGAATTCTCCACCCTTCAGAAAAAAATAAAGAAAAGAGCATTATTCCCAAGTAATAGAGTGCATGGAAAAAAAAAGAAAAGAAAGGGAGTGCCAAATTGTCAATTATTTATTCATCAAGCAAGGAAAATCAGAATAGGTGACATCACCAAGACAGCACAAGCAAATTTGTTCAAATACAAGTTTCCAACATGTGTTTCTGACTGAATCAGTTCAGATAATCTTGCTATTTTAATATAGATTTTACAGGTTTACGTTAGATCAACTATGTATTCACACCTGGGTTTTCCCAAAAAAGGTCTTCATGACCAGCTGCCTGACATCTTTTCACAACATGGACTACATACCATGCTCCAGAAACACAGTGACAATTTTTCACACTGTTGTTGCACTATTCAACAGCTCTTTATTCAGCTAAATGTTATCTTCTGCTTTTCTCAGATTTGACAAAAGTACATTCAGGTCTCTCAACAGACAGTGATAAATCTGCCCCCCAACCACTAGTGACAGAAAACGCAGGTTCCAGGGATCTTAACCCTTTACAGCCCAATCTGAACAAGAAACCTACTCTATTTCATAGACAGGCATTTGAAAACATTCTAGCATTCTGAAAGCCTTCTATCTAGTCTGGGAAGGGGGAAGAAAGCTTCACACGAGTTGAAGAAATAGAACAGATCATTATCTATTTAAAGAGAGTTAACAACTTTGGGGTTAGAGTATTTCCTCAGAACGTGTGGAACCAAAGTCATGTGCTTCCTGAGACTTAAACCTGGGGATAGAATTCACCCCACAGATTCCTTGTTCATTTCTATTTAGCTATTCCAACAAAAGTCTTTTCTGCCTTGCTCTTGAAGAAATGAGACATTCATATAATCTTATAATTTAGACTGGAAGGAACCTCGAGGTCTCTATTCCAACCTCCTGCTCAATGCAGAGCCAACTTAAAAATCAGATCAGGTTGCTCAGGGCTTTGTTCAGTCAAGTTCTGCTTTCACATGAAGTATTCACTGAGTCAGATAGAGAGAGGACAACACCTTACCCAGCCTAGTTAAGTAAGGATGGGGCAATACATTCCAGTGCTTGACCACTCACTGCAAAATAATTTTCCTAACAGCTAAACCAAATTTCTCTCGTTGTAACTTATGGCCATTACTTACTCATTGTCCTTTCTCCGTGCATCTCCAAATAAGAGTCTGTTTTATTTTACCACCACCACTACCTTTGCCTACTCCTCAAGGCTAATAAAAAAATCCAGCTGCCTCAGTTTCTTAAGACACTCTAGTCCCCTAATTGCCTAGGAGGTACTCTGATGGAATTAATTCAGTTTGTCAACACCCTTCTTGTACTAGGTAGCCCTAAACTGGATTCAGATGCAGCTCCAGTATTCAAACTGGTAAAATGACAAAATTGTATTTTGTGACATTTGGGATATCCCTTGTAAAGTTCAAAATTTTTTTTAGATGTAACATCTTCTACCACAGCCTGATCTATTGACATTAAAACCAAGCTTTAAAGTTAGACAAAAGGAAGTCTGCAATTTTTCATTTAATGAAAAAAAATGTAGTGTTATAGTCCAAACAGTTAAGAAATTTGGACTGAATTTGTCATATGCCTTTGGCTGACGAAAATCACCCAGCTTTTAAATATGTTAAATTATTTCATTTGAGAAATGTCAAAACAAATAGTTTCCACATTTGTAATAAATGTAATTTGACACAATTTTTATAAAAGCCAAGAAGACAATAGGCTGCAGGTTCATAGCACTGGGCAGGAAGAAGCAAAACCCTGTTATTCAGAAGAGTGGTTGAGGCAGACATAATACTGGGGTTCAAAGCATTCTGCTGCCTACAAAACCTTGAGCTCATAACACCCTTTTACACAGTGATGTCACTTTGGTTTTCTCCTGTTGATGTTGTTCCTGTTAATGGGTTGAAGTACTCAGACAGAAGGACATAATACCTGATAAGGGCATTCTAATTCAGGCTTCTTTGAAGATTTTACTCCCATCTGACTAACAAACTATTTTAAAAACCAATGTTATTTCTAAATTAAACAGTGACATTAGGAGTGATACAAGGCAATCCATAGCAGGATGTCCTGCAGCATGGCAGTCAGTCAGTATTCCTTTCTACGAGCTGAAATACACCTGCTCATATCTCCTTACACTAAGAATCCGTGAACAGGTTTTAGACATCCCCAGTAAATCCACTAAGAAGGGGACTACTGAGTCTAAAATGATTTTGAGAATATCTGAAAAGCCCCTCAAAAGTATACCATCCATTTTGGGTTGAATGAGTCATCATCTTCAAATCACAGGATTTTTTTTTTTACATTTTATCAAGAAAACAAAACTACACAAAAAATAATATTTTAGCTTTATACCAATTGCTTGAATTCTTAATTTTTTGGTTATCAAGATGAAAGAATCAGTTACACAGTCCTTGTATATACAGTATTGGCAGCTGACACAGAAATGTGGGTGCATATATGTAGCACCTCTTTTCATCCATTCCTGGTACCAAAGCTCCTAGGAAGATCACCTGGAGACTGAGCTGTCCTCACCCCTTGAGGCATCCTGAAACAACTCCATCATCAGACTTGCTCCACTGACCCACTATGCTGCACAATAGCTCTCTCCATATGTCTTTTCTGTACTGATGGTGTATGAATAAAATTTGGTGTGAATTATAACCTTAAAAACAAGTCAATTCTCATGAAAATTCATTTTTGAACTTTCTGAAGAAAAAACAAAGAAAAACCTCTTACCACGTGGATCCTGAGAGACCAGCAATGTAAGTCGCACAGTCTAAAATTCCTGATTCATAAAGTGCTTTCATGACTCCAGCAAAGCCTACCATGGCACGAAATCCACCTCCTGAACCCAATATTGCTATCACTGGTACCTGCAGAGATGAGAGAAATAGCATATCACCACATCAGTTCTGATAAAGACTTAAAAGTAGTAAATAAACATTATTCATCAACCACTGGCCAAACACACCAGCCTTGTGCAACTAATGGTCACCATCCAGAGATCCTACTTTTCCAAACCCATGCACAAAAGTTCAAACAAGCCAAAAAGGTATTCCCCAATCTTTTAGCAGTATGTGTGTAAGAGAACAGCAAAAATAAAGCACTTAAAGATGTGACTTTTAAACACTTCACATAGAATGGAACCGTATCATAATCATACCCATGATATTACCCCTCGGGTTCTCTGGGCCCAAGAGTGATGTACAGTATTTATGTCATTTACTCAGTCATTTCTGCTTCACAAACCCCTGGATGGCAGGAGCTTCAACAAGGCCAAGTGCCAGGTCCTGCACTTGGGCCACAACAACCCACACAGCTACAGGCTTGGGGAGGCGTGGCTGGAGCTGTCTGGAGGAGAAGGATCTGGGGGTTCTCATTGACAGGCGGCTGAACATGAGCCAGCAGTGTGCCCAGGTGGCCAAGAAAGACAGCGGCATCCTGGCTTGTATCAGCAATAGAGTGACCAGCACAAGTAGGGAGGTGATAGTCCCCCTGTACTCTGCACTGGTGAGGCCACACCTGGAGTGTTGCGTCCAGTTTTGGGCACGTCAATACGAGAGAGATCTCGAGGGGCTGGAGCGAGTGCAGAGGATGACAACAAAGCTGGGGAAGGGCCTGGGGAACAGATCCTGTGAGGAGCGATTGAATGAGCTGGGACTGTTTAGTTTGAGGAGGAGAAGGCTGAGGGGAGACCTCATCACTCTCTATAGATACTTGAAAGGCCACAATGAGAGGTTGGTGATCTACAATGAGAGGTTGGTGCTGGTCTCTTCTCACAGGTAATTAGGGACAGAACAAGAGGGAATGCTTTAAACTGCAACACGGGAGGTTCAGACTGGACATTAGGAAAAAAATTTTCACAGAAGGAGTGGTCAGACAGTGGAATAGGCTGCCCAGGAAGGGGGAGGAGTGACCATCCCTGGTTTAAGGGTCGTTTACATGAGATGTTGAGGGATATGGTGTAGGGGAGAACTTGTAGAGTAAGGCTGGTTGTTGGACTTGATGATCCCAAGGGTCTTCTCCAAGCTGAATGATTCTGTGAGTACTTCTGGACTGCAGCACAGGAGGAGAGCACTGCTGATCACAAGCAAGGGAAGCCAGGAACCAGCCAGCAGCATGAGAGGTTCTGCCAAGGTGGAAAACTCACGGAGGCAGAGCAGACTTCCTTCCAGCTTCCTATTTATCTTGTACCTAAGGACCACTAGCAACTACGGAGGTGCAAACCAATGGCATCTAACCTGGGATGAAGGGATATAAAGAGGAGCTGAATGTGCTCAGTTCCTATGATGGCATGAAGGAAGACAACTGCGGCAACACAAGGGCATGAATCCCCAGGAGAGGGGGAGCTGCAAGCTTGCTACTTCTGGCACTGAGAGAAGTCTCCCCTTCCACCTCTCCTCAGCTCAGAGCCCTGGTGATAGAGAAGGAACAAAGGCTGTCAGGGAGGATTCTGGACCAGATACCACAGGTTACTGGATAAGAAATAGTGCTACAAAGTGACAAGCAACAGTAGCTGATGACTCCTTCTTCTGTGGAACACAGGCCAACCTGCTAGCCAGATTGTTTAGGAAGGTTTGCTGCTTGCCCAGACTCCAGATCCATGATGGATGGAAAAACAGATGAGTCTTACCTGGCTTTCCAGATGTTACTCCTCGCTGCTGTGTCTAACAGTTATATAAACAGGGGAGATTCTGAGCAGAATTTGCTTTGCCCTCTCTTGGAGCAATAATGAGGTGTACAGGCACCCGAGGACGTAGCCTGTGGCCTTGATCTTTCTAGTCTGGAAGAGGAGTGGCTTAAGCAGATGCTATCAGGCTCAGGTGGTGTCACTAGTGAGACTCAGCTTCTTGACAATGAAGCCCTGCTTGCTGATGAAGATGATCCATGGGAAAATAAAGAATCCACCTGACCAAGAGAGTGAGGAACACCTTCATGAACAGACTTGCTAATTTAATGAGGAAGAATTTAGATGAACTTCAATGAGGGGGATCTAAGTAAGCAAAGGGTGCAAATATTGCAAATGCAGAAGGAATGCATGGGAGAAAGTTAGTAGTGAACCTGCCTGCTCCTGTCCAGAAGGAAGAGTGCTCAGAGACTTGCCTCAAATGTCTCTACATTAACGCACAGAGACATCAAACAAGAAAAATTGGAAGTTCAAATGCAGTCATAGGTCTATGATACAATCAGAATGACACAGACATGGTGGCACAGCATGGCACACTCTCATGGACGGGAGTAGGCTGGGAAGACAAGCAGGGAAAAAGGGTGCAAGGTGGCTGTGCTCTACAAGAAAGCAGCTCCTTGACTGCACAGAATACCAGGATGCAAGCAGAGACACATATTTTGGGAGCTTCTGGGTCATGATCAGAAAAAAAGTAACACAAGGGATGTTGTGGCAGTCAGATTCAGACTGCTGACCAATGGGATGAAGTGGGTAAGGCTTTCTCTGAAAACCAGAAGAAGCCTCTTGATCTGGCTGTGGTGCTCATGGGGTCATTTTAATCCCCTGCTGAAAGGTCAGCATTGTGTAAACCATCCAGGAAGTTTGTAGATGGTCTTGGTAACAATTTCCTAATGCAAATGCTGGAGGGGCTGACTATTACTGTACCTTACCTGTTGCTTACAAACAGTAAAGAACCAGAGGAAAATGCAGCCGCTGGGAGCTGCCTGATCTGCAGTCAGTCCTCACAAAGTGAGTGAGTTCAGGATGAGACCAAGGTTGGGGAATGAGCATCAGAGTTAGGACTCTGAAATTCACTAAACTCAGAATTGTTCTGGGACTTGCCAGGCAGAATCCCCCTGATTTTCTCTGTTGGCAATAAATTGAAATTAAATAAATAAATAAATAAATAAATAAAATTAAATAAACTGTTGTCACCTTCCAGAGACAACTGGGACTAGCTGACCTCCAGATGTCCCTCCCAAACAGTATTTCTACAACTCTATTATACTGTATAAGTATTTTTTATTCACTACTACTTGCCAATAGGCCACAATATTAACACTGCTCAGGATCCTCCATTTTAGGTTGCTTACAGGCACAGAAAGGTAATGCCTGATTTTTCTGATTCTTCATGTCAAGTAGTAAAATATATACATATCTAGTGAAAGTCAAATACTATCATTATGACCCGCTTAGCTTCCTGTCCACTGAAATAATGTATAGAATTTTAAGTTCAGTTCACCTGCACAGATTTGTGGCACTGCTTCAGACATTAAAATACAACCAGTAAGTCTACAAATTGGGTGAATAAACCACATCAGGTCTCAGCATTAGTAAGTTGTTGCCCCCATGATGCCCTGCTACTTAGAACTCTAACTGAAGAAGTGATCACTTGTAGTAAAACTTCTAAATAAAAACAGTCAGAATTTCTTTAGAATGTCTCTCCTTCTTATCCATAATCCAAAATAAGATATTAAATTTAGTTATTAAATAAACTATTTAGTTACAAGACCACAGAAATTTTTAAAGCAATCCAAACACCAGCTTTAATCCAAATTATATCTTTGCAACAGAGCCAAAAGTAGTAAAAGTTACTAATCAGAAACAGAAGAGAGACAAATAATATTTTGGCTAGGAGTTTAAAAACACATTTTATAATAAAAACACCTGATATTACCACATACCATGAAGACAGTCTCAAATTTACAACTACTTTGCAAGAACTACAGAGAGGCAAGGAGAATTTCTGTGTATCTGTAGACAGTGTATCTGATACACTGTGTATCAGCTACCAAGACACATCCAAGCAATCAAAAGGAGATCCAGTTACAAGTGACACCGTATTGAAAATGTATCTACAAGGGTGCAAAGGTTTCATCTGGTTCCCGGTTTTCAAAACCTAGAATAATTTTCCACTATTCAGTGGTGATAAGGTAACAACCTCTTGGTTGTTACTAAGCATAAAAAGAATTGCACAGTTGTGCAGAAAGCCCCTATCTGATCAAACTGGTAATCAGTCAAAAATTTCACTGAAATGCAATTTAAGGTGCCAATAGATGGGATTAGTTGTAAGAAGGAGGAACCAATGTGACCACTGTGTTCAGTTCCTTTCTGCAGACTCCACACTCCAAGCCATGAAACTCCTCTGCAGACTGAAAACACAGAGTCACATGGAAATGACCACACACAATGACCAAGTAAGCTGAGACATTTCTTGAGGCTTCCATTCCGCAAAACCTGCTTATTCTTGATGCAGTAAAATTATTTTATTATCTTCTTCGTAAGTGTTAAGCTTTAGTAATAGAAACCACAGGTATTTACTGGCATCAGTATTCGTCATGAACCTCCAGAGATAGCTATCTATCAAAAAATTGACAAAACAAAGGTAAACATGCCTGTTTTGTTAAGCCAACACCCCAATAATGGAGCAGTTGCTTTGAACAGAAGAGCCGTATTACTAATCACAAATTTAATAACGTATGTTAGGCTTTGAAAGCTCTTTACGAACACTACCTAATTAACCTACACAGACAAATCCCAACAGGATGAAGATGGTGGTTTGCAGGTGCAAGCCTGGAAAAGGTATGTGAGAACACTTCCAAAGCACCACTATTCAACAAATCTATTAATCAGTGAAGTGGCATGAGCACAAGGGAAAATGTGAGTTTTCTTCAGGATGCAGAGAAATCTGTAAGAATTTTGAGAAGAGTCACTAGCATCTTGACTGCAACAGCCTCCTGTATACTCAATCCACAGTCATTCGGGGAATCCTAAATTCCTATAGTGGGAGAAGGTGGGTATATTGAGAGGTAGGTGGGTGTATAGTATCTCTTCACTTCCACTTGACACCAAAGCAAAGTATGAAAAGCTCCAACCACTACTGTATTTCCAGAAATGAAATTCAACTAAAGAGCTTCAGAGCAGAGGGCACAAGCTGAAGTCAGCTTCCCACAGTAAATAAAGCTTTTAAATGATGAAAAAATAACTGAAGAGGAGCATCTACTGCACATTTACATTCATTTCAGACAGCTGAATACAAGTTGATTCGTAGGCATAAATCAGGTGATGAAGGTTAAGAATCCTTTCCTGCTTTGCAGAGGAAAGTAGAGCTACTCGAAGCGGGTAGGTTTGTTAAAGCAGCTTTTTGACTGCAATTCAGTTTCCAACACATTTAAGGGCAACAAATGGTAAAATTTGAAATTACATACACCCATCTTACAAGTCGCCCTCTAGGATAAATAGTGCGGGGGCAGGAGGGAAGTAGCTGCAGACAGAGTACAAAGGGAAAAGAACCAAGAAGCATGAATCCATCTCATGATTGAGAAAGAATGGAGAAAAGACAGGATACCAAGGTGTGTGTGCTTCTCCATGTACACAGGCTGGGGCTCACATACTCCACTCTTTGAGGCACTCTGAACCTGAAGTCCTTTGTACATAATCAGCAAAACCAGGGCAGAGGTAATAAACCCATTCAAACTTAGACCAAAAGGGAGACTCACAAGAAAGTGATGCAGTGAGTCAATGGCAAAAATGTGAATTGAATTCAGGAGCCCATTGCTCTAATCCCTTGCCACACTGCAACACTCAGTTCTATATGGTTGTGCCCACTTCTCAATAACCAAAAGTCCATGCCAGCATGGCTTTCTTTTTCCTATGGTTGGTCTGCATGGCACAATGCTGAGGGATCCAAGCTAGCTTTGAACAAATCAGCTTAGATATCATCTAAACAACCTCCACTCAACAGGATTTAAGAACACTGAGGAAGTGTTTTGTCAGTACATCCGTAATGTTTCTAGGATCCATGGGGCACCATACTGTGTAGAGTAGCTCAGCACCATACAGTTCCACTTTAACCAATGGGCACCTCATCTCAAAAAGATCTGATTGCTTAATCACCAAACTGGGCATGAAAATGAAAAGGATTTTGTAAACAAGATATGTTTTAAGAAAAGCAAGTTCTGAAGAAGGCATCTCAATCATATTTTCCAGTAATCTGGCAAAAATAAAAAGCTAAAACATATTAAATCTTGTTTAGAGAATTAGTGGCGCAGATGTTTTTATCCAAATCCCCTGGAAACACTGTGCATACAAGAATACCTGCAGTGGAAAAAAAATTTGCCATGGGGTACACAAATGATTATTAAAAAATTGTTCTGGAAATACAGTCTTAGAGAACTATATGCTTTGTTTGATTGATTATCGTATTTTTACAAAATTGTTTAAAGCAACAAAAATTCTAAAAATAAACTGAGCAATAACACAGCTATGAGAAATCTGAATTTTCAGAATGTGCCTCAAGATTAAGGAAATTCTAAAGTACTCACTTCCCCATCCGGGGATATATAATTATTTCACAGGTGTTAAAGTCTCATAGCATCCCTGCAAGGCACACACGTTGCTATTCACAGATGAAGAAACTTAGATGAACTTTGAGTAAGTGACTTGTTTAAGATTAAACAATGACTCATAGGCAGCTAAGAATACTCATTATGTCTCCTAACTTCTGATGCCATGTTAAGAATACAAACATCCTATAAATCCTCCTGCTATCTTCCATCTGTAGCAATAAAAGTAAAATGACAAGATAGAAGGACAAAACTATATTTTAATTTGAACAAAAAGGGTTTTTTCATCCCTAGAAGCAGCTAAGAATTCTGACAAGTCATCTTTGAAATACATACTTGGCATATGATAAATGGGAGGATCACATTACCTCAGTCCTTCCTAGGGCTGATAAGCCTACAAATAGAGATTACTGTCTTGTCCTGGAAGATGAAAATTAACTGATAACATTTCAGTATTTCAGACAATGAGGGACACCAAGTGAAGATGATGACAAAAAGAATATGAAATCTTACTTAGGGTTTACAGTAATTCATGCACACATACCACCTGCACAGAACTTACTTCAGGCACTGAGTATCACTCCAGTGCTAACTGGATCTCAGCAGAATATCTGCATCCCTTCTGAGAAAGAGATTATTGTGCTGTAGAAGATCAGACCAACGTCACATTCACAAGTATCTCCTCTGAGAAGATCTGATGTGTTCAGATTAAAATAACTGAACTGAAAATTAAAAAACCTTGAAAATGTTCATTCAAAATATGCACAATATATATCACTACAAATAAAATATGTACAGTATTTTCCAAATTCTTTAATCTTCCTCAGAAAACTCACACAAGTACATTTTATTACGCAAGACAGAGCTCAGAAGTATACAACAGTAACACATTTACCACCTGCTCAAAACCTCATAGAAATTTAAAAGGAATTCTTCAGTGTTGGTTCCAGTTTCTGCAAAACACTGTCACATTCTACTTATACTAAAAATGCACTAAAGGAATCAATATCAATGAATTAATCAACCCAGATTAATTCAATACTCTGTTTGTTGCCTGACACCCCCACATACACAGTCTTCCTGTCACAACTCTGGGAGCAGAACAGAAGAGGGAACAAACAAGGAAAAAAGAGGATGATGGAAAAGTTACTACAAAACAAGTGGATCTATAACAAGTATATCCTTAATTAACACAAAATAATTAAGTGTTTTATAAAATCACTGAAAAGGTCAGTAGGGTTCGGCACCCCTCCTCACTTCGATGTGACCCAATCCACCATCAGTCCAACTAGATCTTGGCTTAACTTTCTGTTGGCTTGGTACAGAGCACCAGCAAGTCAATGAAAGCTGAAGTTTCTCACATCCTCTAAGAAATAAACTTCATAATCCTAATCCTATAAAATGGGCTAAAGGAAAAATAAAATAAAATAAATATTTTCCAAACTGACTCTAGCATTTAAACAGTTCATCTTCTGCCAAATCTTTTAGACAAGGCAGCCATATAGCCAAGGCCATTTTAAAGAGCTCAGGCTGGATATCAAGCATGCAAGGGCAGATTCTGCAGTTGGGCACATGCCCAGAGCCACCACACGCCTCTTGTGCAGCAGATATTTCACATGCCCTTTAGGCATTTGTCAGATGACAATCTAAGCTCAGAACCAACACCTTAATAAAGCACAGAATTCTGAATCAGAGCAAAATGAAAAGCATGACTTATCTCCTTTGCCTAATTTTAACCTAGGCACATCCTTCTAAGGATTAAAACAATAAAGAACCAGATAAAAGTTACAGCAGTTTGCTTACAGTGCCAGCACAAATGAAAAGCTGTGATTACTATCCTACGATGACATTTACACAGTATTGTCCTTTCGCACATAATGGGCATATCTTATTTAAGTGCAGATCCATTTTGGCACAGGATTTTGTCTCCTTGAAGTTTAAAGCACAGGAAAAATTATTCTCCAGCCTAAATACTCTATGCGCATAGAGAAAAACGGGGATTTTTTTGCTTCTGCCATCTGTCTTCACATTGAACCCTTCTACCTCATATTTCTCATTCATTCCTTTGAGAGACAAATGCAGGACTCCAAAGGTGAAATAAATCTTCATATGAATTCTCCCAACTTACATCACGGGAAGTGGTCAAGATCTTGTTGTTTTCCTCTCCTAGAAATGATTTCATACTGTGCATGATATTATCTTTTCGCTGTTGCCGAAATTTCTTTTCCTCATCACAAAGAGCCATGCTGAACCGGAGATCAGTTGAAGAGCTATTTTGCAAAACAGACAGGCTTTAATAAAAGGCGTAATTCAAAACAGCATTAAAAATATCATCTAGGGAAATGAGTGAAAGTAAGAGTAAACTCCTCATTAACTAAACTAAACTAAACTAAACTAAACTAAACTAAACTAAACTATGATTATTCATGTGACAATTGCATTAGTGATGGATATAAAGAACAGTGGCACATTGCATCTTTAAGACATGCATTTTATAAAGAAACCTCATTGTTCACATACCAGTGCAAATCAAACACAAAATATGCAGCTTCTAGTGTCTTCTAGTGTCTGATCTTAAAAAAATAAAATTAAAATATAGCGAGTTCACCACTCACATACAATTATCAATTTACAAAGAACTGCAATGAAAAATTTTCACACATTCCTAACACATACTATTCTTAAGCTAGAGGTTCATGTTAAGGGAGAAGAGGGTAATTTTGACTCTATCCTTTCAGTCCTACAATCAGAAACTGTATGGATCTCAGCACAAATTGTACTGGCTGGCCATGGGAAAAAGCCTTTTTCTCTAGCTTTTTCCCCACACTGTGTGATCAAAAATGCACATAGGGCTGTGTAAAGACCTCAACACTGTACTTAAGATAAAAACTACAACTTCAGCTCCCACTTCTCATTTCACCTGGCAAGGCAGGATAAACAATCTGAACTGTCAGCTCATTTGGACTAGTTAACTCCCTGAGCCTGATGATATTCAAAAGTCTTGAGCTACAATACCTCCCAGCAGCACTGCCTCTAGCAGGCAGCAGTGGGGAAGAGCGTACAAATTCGACCTGGTATCCACCTCATTGAAATTCTCATATTTACGAAGATGAGCTAAAAATTTTTGTGGATAATTTGACATGTGAGTTCCAAGGCAGCATTTTTACGAGTCCTTCATGAAAAACATAGAGTGGTGAAATGGATCTATTTAGGCACAGATAATAATTTCTCACATTTTTAAAAAACCTATTAAGTAATAATGGGATTAAGAAAAAGGGGGAAAAAGACTGCCTAGAAGCAATGCTCCACGAAGATATGATATATATGATATATGACACTGTGAACAAGAGGTCCATGAAGAATCCAAACTGCACGCAGTCTTATGAGAACAACAGAGCAGAACTCGATCAGATCCTTTTGCTTGAATATTTCAAAGCCTACTGCCTAAGAGCAGCAAGACACAGCCATGTATCTTCTGTTCATTTAATGTCAGAGATAGGAAATACTTGTAATATACAAGCCCTGGAAGGTTTAGGGGTGGTCGCAAAGGCCACCCACATATGCATCATTACTAGTACAAAATGAAGAGCAGAAATCCCTGGTGGATGTCTGTCAGTCTCTGGAGTCATTATGAAAAGAGTTCTACATTTACAGTTACAGTGCTTAGCACTGCTATTTATAGTTACAGACAAAAAAAAGACTTTAAAATCCCTTATTCTCAATAGTTCATTTTTAGACTTAAAAGATATTTTTCTGATTATGCCTCAAGGTGATTTTTGGTCTTTCACCTAGATGGGCTAAAAAAGAGGGAGAAAGACAGGTGGAGAGGTTAAAAAAAAAAAGGAGGAAAAAAAGGTAAGCATCCGCTTGGCTTTACACATGGTGAAATCCTGGCCCTACTGAGACCTTTGCCTTTGACTTCAGTACTCCATGGTACTGATGTTCAAATAAACTTCAGGGGCAGCTTTGTAACGATTATCCATATATCCTGAAGTTACTATATGCAAGGTTACTATACTATATGCAAAGTTACCACAGAAGGTAAAATAATGAGGATAACAGCTTAACCTGATGCCTGTGAGTTTATTAGAGAAAAAACGTTTGAAAAGGAAAGCACTTAACATAAGCCAGGTTGATAAATTCATGTATGATGGTCTTGCTTCTGCAAACATTTAGAAAGGACACACCTATTAGTACAAGTAATGGTGTTTAAGTCAATGATAGAATTACAAAGTGAAAATAACCCTCAATTTTAAAATCTCATGACTTTACAGTACTTAGTATTTCTATGTTAAAACAAGGAAATTTTGCACTCTACCTGACATGTTTTTTAAAAAAATTCTAATGGAGTAAAATAAAAATTCTTTGCTGCTAATATATATTCCACTTTTTTTTTAAATATGAGATACTTACCATACTTCAAGAGATAATTCCAAAGTCATTTCGGTGACCTAAACAAGAAATATTTAAATATGGTTACACCACTTAGAGAAGGAAAAACCCACAAACATCCCTGGAATGTAAACTATTACTGTCAAAATTTTTCTTTAAAACACTTTGTTTTGAAAAAGGAGGACATTTCTGAAATACATGAATGAGTTTCTTCTCTATGGAACTTTTTTTCTTTAAAACCATACAATGTGATTCCAAAATACACAACTAGCACTGAATACAATAGAAAATGCTGCTAGGTGCTGCTAGGTCCTGACTTTTTCATCTGATCCCATTGTCTTGGCTTTCTTCCACTGACAATCACTTTTTGACAGTGCTATTCATCTTTGGCCACAGGGGATATAATTTTCTTCACGCACTCACAACCCTTTGTTTCTATTACCAGCCACAGTCTACCTGCCACTTGCTACCCAGTTCACTGGGTAAACTTCATACTCAATTTGTATCTGAAATAAAGATTTGCATGTGTTCCACATGAGTCACCAAGTGTCTTTCCACAGTTAAATACGCTTAAATTATCAATCAGGAAGCGTGATTGCTTACAAGTTTCTGAAAGATGCAAGTAAACTAATAAATGCCACTACATAATGATTTCACTTGCAGACCACATAGAACTACCTGACCCATAAACTATGGATTGGTCTCCCCTGCCTTTCATAGAGCACTTAAAGGGGTTGCCTGCAGGCAAAAGGTTAAAAAATAATGGTTAAAGCACCACTTGCATGTTAGGCAAAATCTGAGAGTACAAGGTTGCTAGAACTAAGTCAGAACAGGCAGGTATTTTCACCTCCCTGATCAATCTCATATGCAATGGCCACCAACACGTTGGTACAGCCTTGTAGGAGTGTAACAGACTCACACAGAGTGCCTTGCTTCACTTTGTCTCTAGCTATACAGGGATTATCCTCCTCGTTTGTGGTATGTGAGATCACTAGGAGCAAAGCTACAACACCTCAGACTGCATGTTTGCTTGACACTTATCCAGAGTAGTTAAGGGTATGGAAGTGCAAAGCTGCCTCTGGTCTCCCATATCTGGCATCCCTGCTGACAGGCCAGGTAAAACTTGGCACTCTGCTCCTGCCCTCTGAAATGGGAACTGTAAATTAGGTACCGTATTCCAAAAGGAAAAGAAATAACAAGGGGAGAACATGAAGAAACAGAGTGAAGAGTCATTTAAGGAAATACTTCAAAGACAGGGGAGTAATTACATTATTCCAGCACCTGATATTACTAATTTAGAAAGCACCTCAGAAACCACAAAGTGATCCAATGGTTGAAAAAATGTACACACTCAGTATTAAATAAATCCTTGAAGTAAAACATTTCAATAGGGAAATAGTATGCCATTTTCTATACCTTATACAGACTGCCACAGAAATCTCAAGAATACACATTGTGTATACAAATTGTCTACATTGGGCTCAACCTGACTTGATATTCTCTTACTCTCTGCTTATAATTTCAGAGTGTATTTGGACTTTTTCATTGATTTTTTTTTTTCTCCTGTGTTCTCTCCCAAGATTTGATGAGTGCTGATGAGATGTTAAAGCATATCTGCAATGTGGCAAGGCTTTATATTATTGGCATGAGTTTTGTAAACTGTGTTTTCAGAATTTATTCATCAGCTATTTCTCACTCCCTAACCTTGTGCCTGGCAGAACCAGGCATCTGCAGTCAGCACACACTTTGGAAGGGCAAGAGTTACTGAAGCACTTAGTGAAATAATTATGCAGAAACTTCAAAAAATGCCGTAAATTGGGGAAAAAAAAAAAGAAAAAAAGGAGGGTATCAAAATTCCAACTGCCCTAAGGCTATGCCCAATTAAACGCTAAATCTTACATATGGAACTCTGATTTCCAATAAATAGGCCTTAACCAGTTATTCACTGTAACCACACTTTTAAAGTTACATCACATGAAAAACAGCAGAGCAGTCAGAAAGAGCTTTGATCATATAATAAACCATAGTCCAAGACAGAAATGCAGACAATATTTATACATATATAGTATATGCTTCCAATAGATATACGTATAAAGACAAGTAGATGTGATGGATATAACTCCAAGCACTGAATTATGTTCAGAATGACCTGTGATATGTTACTCTAATAAATGACAACATTTTAGTATGTGCAGAACAAGCTCAATTACACACAGATTTAACAAAAATTTCCAGGATTTACCATGCAGGCAGACAATCCCTGTTAAACTGACTCGATCTGTTTTGAATATGTGTTGAAAGAGAATAATCCAATTAATGAGTTACTGCATGTTAACTAGGGCTGTGTTACCTCAAAGCCGTTTATTGAAAGCAAAACATATAACGATAAAAGAATATCTGTCAGCTTTCCGGATGGAAGCCACAGGCATCAGTAGCAGAGTTAATATACTGACCAGCAAACCCTGTGTAATCTCTCATGCTAACAAAGACCATTAAATTAAATGAAATCGAGTAGTGCAGAAACTGGTTTAGCAAGTGAAAGTTTGAAACTAGACTTTAAGAGAGGATTCTCTCAGCGGGGATACTAAGGCATTCAGTGGCACTGTTTTTTTTAATTCTCCTCTCAGCAGGACCATAAGAAGATAAATACATTGCCATAGGCCAGCACTCCATATTTAATCATGAGCAACAGTGAATGCTTAGAAAACAAGCTTCAGAGCAGGATATGCAGAGAACAACAATCCTTACCTGAGATACCCCCTCCTGTGCCCCAAATATTCAGCTGTTTCCTGCCTGAAATGCTGCCACCCTTACCCCCTCCACGATACTCTAATCTCTTCTTGAATTCACCACTTAGCTCTGTATTAAGAAAACACATACACACATAGTACTGAGGTAGACTGATGGGATCAGAAATAGTTTCTGATTTCCTTTCATTTAGGAAGATGTACTTCTGATAAGTATCAAAAGCAGGCTAAATGTTTTTCTTATGCTTCAACAAAATGACTGAAGGAATACTCAAATAACATCAGACTCAGTGAGAGTGCTTAGGATACATCCCTTACCCTTTATAAGCACCATTCTCTATTGATTTGTGAAGAAGCTTTATCTAGCCAGGATGTGGCACAGATAAAATTCAGACACCTGAAAAAGGACTGACATGTGGTACATCCTGGTTTACACAGTAGTTTGGGTCTCTCAGTTCAGGTGCTCTTTAAGAACTCTCCATCATGTCCAAAGCTGCACCAACAAAGGCAAAGCTATGAATGTTGTAACTTACATCATTGAAAGTTAACTGGACCTCCTTCTTCTCTCCCAGTTTCAGAGAAGATATAGGAAATGTGGACGTACCAAGAGTCTCATCCATAACATAGTTGGCATCCATCAAAGTAACCTAGAAAAGATACACAGGTATTCAATTCTACTTTGATAATTTTTTTTAATTCCACACAGCCTACACCTAAAATTAAAAAAAAAAAATATTAAAAAGGAATAGGCCTAACCCAACCCAGTCAACACCCAAGGCCAACAGACACGTTCTTTTAGACAGGATAAGCTCATGTATAGTGTGGGTGGCACTTTCAAGGCAATCAATTGCATGAATACAACAGTATCATTTACAAAGGGTTTTTTTTAACCCAAGCACCTTTCAGCCAGTAAATCTCACCTTCTAAGCAGACATAAATTTAAATTATACATATAAAATATACAATTACTTCAAATTTCCAGTTAGTAAACCTTCTCTATGGAGAAACTTACATAGTTTTAGATGTGATACACCAAAAACCATACAGTAACTTTTCAGTGAAGACAAAATCCATTCATTCTGTCCTTGTATCTACAGACTGAGATTTTTAAAGCAATGATTTGGCAAAATGTGCAGCATTACAAATTACATTAAACTTCTCTCTGTACCCAGCCAGATCTTCAAGTCTCTTCTCATATTCTGCATGTCAGAGCAATACACCTTTTCAAAGTGTGATACTATCCATGGATATATGTGGATACCGCAGAACACTGTTCAATGCTTTTGCTCTAATCCATGTGGGTCTACGTCTAGTAGCCTTTTTGCTCAGTGGCAGCCTTCTAAGTTCTCACATAAGACATTTAGAAAGAATTTCAAATTACCATTTAAATGGTTTCTATTAAATGAGTTCTCCAAACTCATTTAGCTTACAATTTTTTCCACTCTGGGGAATTCTGTCTCCTAAAATATCATGTTTGCGGCTTGGACCATATCTTTTTGCATAAAACAAATGGAATCAAGATACAATTATTTGAATAACTAATTGCTACATCTGAGTTCAGCCTCTTCTCAGCTATAAAGAATCTTCTTCATCCTGTGCCACAAGCAACCCTTTGAAATGATGAACGTATTTTAGGACAGACTCATTATTTCTATGGCATCTCTGTTCTGTTTCCTGGCAGAACTTTATGTCCATTGCTGTAATCTCTGTGGGCTGTCTTTTAAAACAAATAGCAATACAACAGGATTTTGAAGAGCTTACACTTTGGAGTGAAAACTGCACTTGGGATAAAGATTTACATTAAAATAATCTGAGTAGGCAAAAGGATTGTGGAATCTGTGTAAGCTTTGGAATTCACAGAGGTTTTGTGTGTGGAGGTTGTTTCACAGATTTGAATTCTGACACTGTACTCCATCCAGAATCCAAAGGTTCTGCTGGGCACTGCGTGTGTATACAACAGTGGCAGGACACAAACATCAGTTTTAACCTAAAGACTATACTGTTCATGGTGAAGAAAACACCGTGAACAACACATATATGTGAATGCAAATATATGTATCAACCAGGTCCACAATTAACCATTATTACATGGTGTCACTGGCTTTTTGTAGGCAATTTTCATGGAATTTTATAGCATGTGCCTCAGAAACCAGCAACAGCCTTTAGTTATTGTAAAGATATATTTCCAAATTCTACTTATAATCAATCTTGTTGTGTTCTGTTATAGGGAACAGAGACTTGCAGAACCTGGAAGTATGCTATGGCCATACTGTGCTGGAAATCAACAGCGTGCCAGCTCATAAAATCCTATATAACAACTGCACAAAATCATGCTAAAAACTGACAAACACCTTGCAAAATGTTAGCCAAATTACAAAAGATATTTAGTAACTGGGGGTTCTCACCCTCATGGGAAACAAGCTAGTCACATCATTACTACAGAAGGAAGCAAGTGGCCCAGGCTTTCACAAGGTTAAAAATATCTGAGATCATTTAATACTAAGAAATGACTGGCTTATCAGCATCACATTACTTTACACCAGAATGCATAAAAGTAAGAGTATATTTTGCCTTTATCAGGCAAAACTGAAGCAATTTTTAGTTCCCATACTGCAACAAAGGCAGGTCGATGAACCCAAGTTCTTTTCTTCTTCCTATTTCCAAAATGCTTTCTCATGAAGAAGTCAGAATGACTCCATTCCTCTTTCTAATTTCTGATATCTATTTGCCTGACTTGTTATTAGAAAGCAAGAACGAAGTTAAGAGATTTCAAACTTTTCTGAAGTTTTATGCAGCCAGTTTGTATGTCTACAATCAAAACACTTATTAAGAATCAACTCAGCTGACTGTTGCACCTGACCAGCTGGTGGAAGCTATTCTGGGTAATGTCCTTTCTGCAAAGCTGTAGTGAATTCTGTAGTATTGCTTCTCTTGTGCAGGATGCATGGGATAGTTGTTAATGGTTCACTGAGCTGATCATGGGATTCTTCCTCCCAAAACTGTAGAACCTAACGGTCTCCCCAAGAACACAGGGAGCCTTGTAGGAAGCACAATTCAATTTCCCTATCTTTAACAGTTTAGCCCCAAGAAACTATGGTTATTATCTTAGTGAAAAGCTTCACAGGTTTCAGCTTCTGTCCCAGTTGGCCAATTGAGACTGAAACTCCATAAGCCTGGCTCAGAAGACTTCACATGTTAGGGCCATCCCCTTCAAAGAACCAAGATAACAAAGGACTATAGGATAACCTTAAATGCTTGCTATTCCCACTTACAAAACAGTTTCACTTAACACCTTTTGTATATAACCTGGAAAGGCTTAAGTTACTGAGACTTAATGGTGACTTAGTCAACAAGCCTGTACATGGAATAAGAGTACCCAAAATATCACTAGGTGGGCTACTCAGCCCCTGTTTCCAGGTATAGAGGAGACAGAAGAACCATGCTTCTGCTTTCACAGGCAGACATGTGACTTAATCCCAACTTATTCACTGTCCATAATAGTCGAATCAGCGTAGGGAGCAGGAAGAAAATAATTTATGGCTGATGTGAAGAATAATAAGCTACTAGCCCTCAGGAGCAGTCCGAGAGATGACTCAGAGGCATATCTTATAATGACTCTCAAGGCTACTCCTTGAATAATACAATTTATACAACACCGCTTGCTTAGCATCATGCCTAAAGGCAAAAACCAGCTTTTAATGTTTTAAAAAAAGTTCTAATCTTGAGACAACAGATGCCATACACATAAAAGCCGCTGTTATTTTAACCTTCCAAACATTGTACAACTTCCATTGTCACAGATGCAGCTCAGTCATGTGATTTACCTCAAGTACATTCTCTTGATTGGGGTCCAAAATGAACTCAAAGGTCTCGTTCCACACAGGATTCACATCGTTATTGAAATGTTTCGTTCTCTTCCTGCAGTCAGGGGCAGATGGGATGAACAGCTCCACATAGGGATCTGGAGTGTCAACTACAGAGCAAAACAGATGTTCAAGTTAGGTAAAACTCAAGTTTGGGTTGTAATAATCGATACAGTTATGCGAAACCACAGATCACCTCATGGTCTATGACAGAAAAACATTCAGCTATACAAATTACATACTTACATGAGTGATATAATGATATTAACAATTTCCCCAAAAGAAACAGATATTATGCTTTTAAGAGGGGAGAAGAAAAGCCTTGAACAAACAGAATGGCACTGGGATTGATTCAAGTTTTTTGGTAGTATGTATAATTCTACCAGGCAGAGGTAATTATTTTTAAAAGTTTTTACCCCTTCCTCTCTTCCTACCCTTTAATTACTTTGGCTTGTCTCACAGAAGTAACTATTCCACAAAAACAGTCTTCAGTTAATGAAAGCAAGAAGCTTGGTATACATATCTGGATCCTCTTTTATTGACAATCGTAAAGGAAATCAGGCTGCTTTAGCTTATACTGCTAAACACAGTATAAGGAGAGTTGTTCAAATCTGAAGCCACTGCAATCATCAGAGCTCTGTGGAGGTCACCACAAAATCAAGACCTTATTTACACAGTATATTTGAATAACAACTGTGCAAAATACTAACTGAAAATGTAGAAACATATGACAACTATAGCTAATCAGAATTATCAGTGGGAGAAAAATACACACGAACAAAACTCATCGAATGGGTCTAGTAAGAGCCATTCCTGAGAGCAAAGAATGCATTGCTGGCAGTCCCATCTTTCCAACTGGTTAATATTTTTCAGTCCAATGAGACTTTTTATCTGTTGAATTGGGCCAAGGCTGATGTAGTCATTTACAGATTTCTCTAAAACATTGCTCAGATGCTTCACATGAGAGAGCATGGGACATTATCCCTGTTATTTTGGTGATCATGAAAAGCCACCTGCTCTGCTGTGGTAAAATGCACTCATCTTTCCAGCATCCTCTCCTCAACATTTCTCCTCTGCTTTACTGAAACATTTTCAAGCAAATACAATACTAATCACAAACAAGAATCCTTTTCTTAAAGGTCTCTTTTTGAAAGAGATCAAAACCTATTACTATATAAAACAGGTCTGAACATTCCTCTTTGTACACACTTGAAGTCTAAGGATACTTTTTTCAACGAAGTCAAATGTTTTTAGAGACACTTGGATTTCAATAAAACATTTTCAGTGAGATTGCTGAGGCCCAGAACTACATGGGCATTTCAGCTGGGAGAAAGAGGAAAAGAGCAAAACAAAAGAGTTGATACTTTCAAATGGAAATCAATCACCTTTTGAAAAAAAAAAAAAAACCAATCAACCAAACAGCCACAAAAAGGCGCAGGGAATTCTGTACACATACCAAAGCAGAACAGAGTCAAAACTCAAAATTTTTGGTGTCCCAGCAATTATAGAGGGGAAAATCTACCAGACCCAACACACTTTCTGATGCCATCGCCAAACATAAGAGATACTGAACTTGCCCACAAAGTACTTCAATTACCTCTGGAGATGCAGAGTTACACTCAAGGGTCATACTTTGAATTAAGTATTCCTATAGCTAGGGAAACTTTAGGGACAGTAAACAAACCTTCTCCTAGACTCAGGCACCCTCAATTAAAATTCTGTATGTAAATAGACTTTGTGATTCAAAGATTTCACTGTGTGAGAATTTCCTTGGATTGCTAAAAAACTCCCCAGGACTCCCTAAGGAGTTTTAGACTGTGGTCCATATCTGTGAGGCTTAGCTAATTACTACGGTTTCGCAGGTCACACTGCTACCTGTATAATTAACAAGCAGCTATTTAAAGTTGGGGATCAGTATGGAAAGCCTTTAAATAGCAATCTTTATTAGCTCCTAAGAATTTATGTCTGATCTTGTCTCTTATTTAAAGTCAGGGGAACAGGGGGATCAACCCCCAAGTGTTTTTTAGATCTGTTTTCTCAATGTCAGTTCTAACTAGTTGCCCACTTTTACTGAATACATTAGCTCCCTTGTGAATTACTACATAAATTTGTGCCAGAAATAAGGGAATCGAGGCCCCTTGAAACTAAACATCAAAATATCTACTGAAATCAGAAGTAACAAGATCTCATCTGGTATGTCTGGATATTGAGCACTACTTTGGCAATAAACACTACAGACTTGCTCTGCCAAGAGACTGAGCTTGCCTACAAAAGCTTGGTTTTTAACCAAAATACTGGTGCTAAACAGTGTTCTGGGCAAAACATCAATTGCTTCCCTTTCCATTCAATTTTTTATGTTATTATGTGATCAGCCCTAACTATACGTTACAAAACTCTAATTTTTCCTTTTAAACAAAACCAGCAATTGGTTTCCTATCTGAAGACAAAATTCTGAAGCACGTGGAAAACCCATACCACTGCACAGCTGGTATACAGATGGCATTACTAACTTCCTATCAGACAGACTCCAAATAAGTGTTGAAACAGAAACTAAATCCAAGACACAGAACAACTAAAATTAAAAAAAATCAGTCTTTGCAACTCAGTATTGCCAAGCCGCCCCCTCGCTCCCTGCCTTTATTATCTTTTTTAACCCAAGGCAAAGAGTTAATCATCTGCCCTTTCATGTTTCCAAGTTTATTTTGTGCTATTTTCAATTAAGAAAATTAAAATCTCTTCTATAACTTCCTTCTTCAGACAAAGAGGAAAAAATACTGGAAGACTGTGTGCTCTGATTAAGATATTGCTATAAGCTACAATATATTAATCAAAATCTTACTCATTATTGTTTGGGGACCAAAAACTAGCTACCAGCAATCTGGCAAGTAACACAAAAGTATTCACTTAATATATTTCAAAACATTAAAGTTATCCAACGCAGACAGAACAGACAGAGTGTGAATCCTTTTGCATGTATGTATTTATTCCTGTTTGTGGTTTTGCTAGTTGATTTGTCAGGTGTTTTGTCAAAAAAGTCTAAGTGAAAAGTAGCTTGATTGCTGCTGTTATCTATATTTTTATTTTAAATTGAAGCATTTTTATGAAATGATTTATGGGTCAAAAGCTAATGCATTGCAAGTGCAATTAATACAAGAGACATTGATGTAGAGACAGCACTGTCATGCATTTACTCTTGAAATACCAACCACAGACTTTTCAAAAGAAGCAACGTGTAAGAGTTTGTACTTCTTCCTCAGGACACTTCCGAAGAAAGCGAAGTTTCTATACAGCTCCACTAGGCTCTGGGCTATACTTTGTGCAAGCATTCTTGCATGACTCCTACATCATTTGCGGGCTAGCTATCTACAGTGCATCTCAACTTTTAATGCAAGTAAAGTGTGGAACATTTGCAAATGGACATATGCACTATCATAAGACAGAGTGTAAGGTATGATTCTATATCCCTCACTTCCTGACTCTCTTTGACTATTCACAGCAAGTGCCTCTATTTGCATGCAACTGAAACACAATAATTCTGCCAGCGTCGAAGTGCTTCATACGCAATGGCATAGATAATGCTCTGAACAGAGGGACCAGACTCCATTAGTATTTCTCAGGGACAAATAACTATGAACTGACAATTAAGTACAAGTGTATCTAAAATCCCACCTTTACACTAAAACATAAAACTAAGAGTTTCAGCTTTGATGTCAATAGAACTAACAGAAATTCCTGAAATTAGCAGCTTATAGCTAGATGAATTATAAAGGTAATTAACAAAAAGTTCATAATAATCCTTTTGTAAGATTTACATCATCCACCAAATCTCCAAGGGTTGAAGACAGATATCCAACAACAAAAGCAGAGTCAGCATCTAAACAGTTATTTTTAAACACACTGGTTTAAGAAATGGCTGAGAGGTAGGAAGTACAGATTCAATTACTTCCTAATTTGATTTATCTCCTAGTTAAGTAATTGCTATAGAATTCTATCTCTAAATTACATTATGAATCATGAAGTGAAAAACACAATGGACAGTAATTAGGATCAATCACATTAAAAATGAGTAATGCTTTGAGCAATCTGTCTATTAAGGAAACCTGTAAAATTTTCTGCAATGACTGGAAACCATTTGATCTTAAGTTACTAATTTGGTGAGATGACTGCCATCAGGCCCCCATATTAATATAATTAATATTTCAGACATACAATTTATATTTCAGCCATTCCAATTTCAATTGTTTCAATAGCATAATAGACACAAAGAAACTATAGAAAGCCTGTTTGAATATAAAATGCAAGGATGAAGCCACTACCATCATACATTAAAATTTATCATTTTCCCATCAAAAACTGAAAGCAATGCAAAGTTCTTGAAGTATTCAAAAATGTGGCTTGCTACAAAAAGTTCCTCACTGTTAAGAACTTGACGTTTTCTTCCACATGAGCATTTCATAAACACTTGTGATCATAATGGATATTAATTAGAACAATATTAACTTAATTTCAGTTAATATATGCATCATGATTATAGAAAGTAGATCTGGATCCGTAGTTTTTGGACCCATGATCTCCAGATAATATATTTATGCAATTTCACAAATATTTCAGAGGGTACATGGCAGAACTTCCTTAAAGAACTATGTTCATTTGGTTCACTGGAGTTTTTTGCCTTCTGGCTAACCAACATCCCCTACCACCAAGTGCAACTCCATTCATAAAATCTTACTAGGTCACAAATGACCACCTTTGTCTACTTTCCACCATTTTTTTTTGGATTACTGCACTACAGTACAACTTGGTTAGCACGAAGTTGCACTCAGCTGAGTGGCCTGACTGAGACCAAGCTAATAACGGGAATTTCTGGACTACCTCCTTCTCCTCCAAGGGGAAGGAAGCTAAAAAATGCCAGCTGTGCCCTAAGTGCCCTAAGTGCACATGGTTCTGGCTGGGGAAGGGAGCTCAAGCAGACTGCACAGCCCATACTCGTTGCTGTCTGGCTGCAGGGCTCCTCTGAATTTTACAGAATTTATCAAACCTACAGTTTCTCTAGAGAAACCCAATGCAGGGGCACGAAGGCATTACCTAGTATCAATCACAGTAAACCAGC